CAAGAACTCTAAGAACGAAAACGAAATGATAATATTGCCATAGTAAATTAAGATGAATATCAACATCTGTATTAATAAGAAATTTGCAGATATTTTTGTCTTATAAAAGTAAAAATTCTTCTAATGAAAGTAAAATATGTTCCCGAAAATTCCTTTTTTTTAACTTTTGTTTTAAATAACTTTGGCCACACGGTCATTAAACGTAAAATGCCCCGTTTTTCCGCCTCTATTTTCCCTTAATTACACAGTCTCTGGGAAAATAAAGATAAAGTCACTGGCGCGTCACTAAAACAAACGACCCAACGGGTGGTTCTAAATTATTATCATTTTTATTTTTCTCATTGTGTGTATACCAGGAAATGTCTGACCTAATTTCTCACGGTTCCAAATTTTTCAACACCCCTTTGTATCTTATAATGAGAAATTGATGAATCTAATCGTTATAACATCGCAAATCAAATCTTCTCGACATTTATTTCATTTTTGTTCAACAACCAATACGGTGTATTTTGAAACTTGACCATCTTCCCAAATATTGACACCAATAGCAATCAATCATAATCGTCCATAATCTATCGACGTTAAAATTAACTTAACGGCCATCAATCAAATCAAACGACAACATCCCTCATCCGAAGGCAACTTTATTAACCTTCCTGAATTTACATGTTACGTTGAACTTGTTGATAGATGTCAGACGAAATACGCGCATCGACAACAAAGGAAATGACCATTTAGTTTGTTGTCGCTTCTGTTCTGGTGTTACGTAAACGTTCGGTTTCTCTGTATGTGAGCTTTGGCGCAGTGTAACCTATGCATAATGCATGCGTTGCGGCAATTAGGGCTTTACGACGTATGCGACGTCGTAATTGCGGTATCACATTGGACCGTACTTACAGATCGTCCTTCAATTTCGAGATCAATCGATGAATTACAGCTTTGATATTCTCTCACTAATCACTTTCACGTAGAGATGGAATAATATTCAAAGGAATTGTTGCATATGATTGTTTACTAGAAGTGTTGTGATAAGTCAAGTGGATTTTGATTTATCCAGTGTTTCATACATTTTAGTATTCAATAAAAGCTGTATGATTATTGACCAAGCAGCGTATTTTTTTGAGATGGGAGATGACGTTTACCTAAAACATATGAAGCATAAAACGCATATTGATCGAATAATTTTGCGCCGACGGTATCCAGTCGAACATTCTAAAAGCACTTTGGAGCGCACTTTAGCAGTGAGTCAATAAATTCAACTGCAAATAGAATAAAAATATTTAAAACAAATTTAAGGTTTTTATTATTAACTATTTGAATATACGTTTTCGATGCTTAGCTACATAAAAATCAAAGATAGGTTTGATTGAATAAGTTATTTACTGTATTTGGTTTAAGAGCATGAAGCACCAGGATTTGTCACTCCGATGTTGTTGGAAAAAATCCTATAATGCATGTATTTTAGGTTAAGGTGCGTAAAATTTTTTTTAATCGATGACAACACTAATAACGTTACAAATAAAAGAACACGACAGAACAAATTTTCTGCGTTTCCAATTTTTCAATAGATATAGTACTCCATGCGAGTACCAGGAGCTTGACGTGCCAGGATTTTAGTTGATGCTTGAGAGGGCAAGAGAGATTTCAAGCCCTACTATAACACTAACGCGATGTCAAGCAGCTCGGAGTAACTTCAGAACATCAAACGAATACAGTAATTGATTATGATTTTTTGGATAAACAAGATAATTTTTATACATACTCTGTATTCCATTAGTTTCAGCTTTTGAGTTAAATCCGATACTAAATAACACAACATATTTTACAACGTTTCGGTCTTAAGCGACGTCGCCTAAACAGAAGCTGAAGCCATTCAATTTTGCATGATTTACCCGAAGTTGTATGCGGCTGAGACTTTATAATTAGTATCACATGACCTCAAAGGTGGTCAACATACTCTGGCTGCTTGTAGTCTCGGCTTATCTTACCGCTGAGAACCTGTGACTACGTATGATTAAGCTGAGCACCATCATCACTCAAACCTGATCAACACGTGCTACAGCGTCTTGGCTAAACCAATGGTTATGAATCTATAACGTCCAAGATTACACAATTAACACCATATGGTCCAAAGATGGTCAACAGCGAGTGATCTCGGCTAAACTAATGGTGAAGATTCTATAACGTTGCCTGATCAAGCCGAAGTTCTTTGCAGCCGAGATACCTTATTCACACAAACCTGATTAAGGCCGAGGTGTACTATCGCAAGCAACCTTGTCTAAACTGATGGTGTGGATTATTTGATTTAGTAGGATTAAGCCAAGGGTGCTTACAACTGAGGTTTTACAATGATTGCCATATAATCTTAAAGTTAGTCAAGTCAAAATTAGAACGGAGATTCTATAACTTCGCCTGATCAAGCCGAGGTCGCAATCGAGATGTTGCAACCTGAATAGTCTCAGCTTATCTTTTGACTGAGAATCTATGACTTCGCATGATTAAGCCGAGATCGCTAATTGCCACCGTGTTCTCTCAAACTTGATTAATACATAAGTAAAGTTTATACAATTAATACCACATAATTATCACATAATAATCGAGGTTGCTAGTGGTGGATCGGTTGCAATTAATAACATATTCTGCCAAAACTAATTAACACATTCTACAGCGTCCTTTGCCCATAACAACTTTGCAGACCGATATTTCCATGCACATAGCCTTATCTATCTCGACAACCTAGCCTGAACATATATAAGAATAATCTTATAAAATGTTACGAGTATGTTAAGCAACTAGATACTAACTATAATTGTTTAGAACATATTTTTTCTTGCAATATTTTACTCAAATGTATGTTGAAATTTTGCAAATTACGCCAGATTTCTTTAAGAATCAAGTTAGTAGTGTCATAGTTTACATCAAGTTTTTGTCCGATTATGAAGTTGATCAATTAGACTGAAGTTAACATGTCAAAAATTGTTGTAAAATACCTTATTAGAAAAATCCCATACATTTTACTTAATATAATTCCTTATTCAGTATAAATAAGCTCATGGTCAACTTTTTATAGAATATTTATGCAATGGGTGTTTCTCGTTCATTTTGCATTGATATTTTATTTACTAAAAATAGATTATTCTTTTTGTAATTTTCCCTACTCCATTTATTTTTTTTCCAAACTCCACTAAAACTTTGGTCGGCATCATGCACAACACGCCAAGAATAATACAGGTCCTACTTACAAAAACCGACGTTTTGTTGGGTGATATAAAAATCGATACGTCCTATTTATTTATTAATTTTCTATACATATGCATGTGCGGGGTCAAGGCACACCGACCAACCAATAAACGTCATAAAACGTTCACGTGACGCACCATTCTGGTACTATATTTTCAATTTAGCTAAATAGTAATCTCAATTTCTTTTAAGTAGCATAACTAAATGAGCCTTGTATTTGATTTTGTTATGTCTAGTGGATGTAAATTAAATTTATGAGTAAAGTGGTTGTGTTTGAAAATCCTTCGAAAGAAATTTCATCTGCTCCGGTTGGCAGCAGGCGGGAATATCTAGTTCGTTTGTTGGAAAAGCTTTTGCGGACGACGTCCTTACAATCAACGTTGAAATGAATGGAAGCATACCTGGGTACCTGTGCAGCTTTGACGTTCCGCGTGATATCCCATCGCTATTCGCGGAAAGAGGTCAATAGTTGGAGAATTCGCTTTTCCAACACACTCGCACACAGTGAGAAGCACTGCTCCTGCCTCGAGTTCAAGTATCTCCCGGAAACACCATATTCCAACGTCACTTATTGTGCACTTGGTGTCTCCGCACTTCCACCAAGATCTCGTCTCATTAAGAGACTATTGTTAAATACAACTTGAACAATTTATGAAATAGCATCGATATAATTTGATTGTTTTGCAATTATACTTGCAACGTGATTTTTGTAATTACGAAATTTGCAAAAAAGTGAATAAAACACGGAAATTTTAATGTCGGAACGTTTTTAAACCACTGACATTTAAAAGGTCGGAAAGTTAATTAAGCCCCCACGTAATCCTGCCGTTTCCAAAATTAATTCCAGCGACGTTTTCCGGATGGCTAAATAAAAATAATAAACCTCTGTATAATGTTAGCGTATAATCAATATACGTCGTCTCGTTGATTTTGTTTTTTATTGCGACAGTGATTTGTTTTGCGTTCGTTACAAAAGTTTTTATCTCGCTTGTTTTTTTTGTCTATACCATGTATAAATCAAGGATGGTAGTTTTAGTTTTAATTGTTATTCAGCATTAGATTCGTGTATATTTTATTGAACATTCGGTTTAGCCGTCTTAAAAAACGCATGGCTAAATCCGAATGATTCTAGCTGTTGGTCTAGTGTTAGTTCTAATGCTAGTATTGGTTCTAGTTTTAGTTGTCTAATCACTGCTAGATTGTTGTATGGTTTTAGTGAACTAACAATAGACGTAGAACTAGAATCATTCAGGTTTAGCCGTCTTGAGAGACGTGCGGCTAAACCTAAATGATTCTAGTTCTAGGTCTTGTGTTAGTTCTAGTGATAGTGCTAGTGTAAAACTAGAACTAACACTAGACCTAGAACTAGAAAGTATAGAATATGTTAGTTCTAGGTCTACTGTTAGTTCTAGTTTTAGTTCAATGAAAAATATACAACAATCTAACGCAGAATGATAACTGAAGCTAGAACTCACACTTGCAATAGAACCAATACTAGATCTAGAACTAGAAACATTCGGGTTTAGCCGTCTTAAGAGACACGCTAAATTCGATCATGATTTTTATTTTATATTATGAACTTTAAGTCTCAAACTACCAACACTACAAAACACGAATAGAACAAATTGAGCATTTTCAAAGTGTGAAATTGCAGTTATTTTTTCGTATAACAGACTTTTGGCTATAACAAAGACTCCCTTTCCCATATACCTAAGTATTAGCTTCCAATTTACAAATAAAACTTTTTCCTTTCTTTTCAGACGTTCTGCGTAGTCTCGAAGAGATTCAGGAAGAACTACATCCACAGGTTTACGGCGACCAATTCGTTTTTCCTGTTCAGCCCGTGGAGTCGCACACGCAAAGCATGCATCTACCTATCGACCAATCAATATTTTGACTATATCGTCATGGCCACCATTTTGCTCAATTGCGTCTTCCTTGCCATGACAGAAACAATTGAAGAAGCAGAGTATGTTTTAATTTTATATTTACCATCCAAATATATGTAATAAAAGTGTTCTTCATTATCTACATTTATGTTTATTGCGGACGTTTATGAGTCATTTTGAATAAAGTAGATCTTTTAGCCATAAGGTGTAGTTCGAAACCAATAAATTTTATTTCCATGCGAACCATAAAAACAAATCGTCTCGTAATTCGGAGAAAATGACGGATAACGTAGTAGAGTGGAGCCTTCGGGCAAGTTGAAATTACTCTCTATCTGGTACATAGATAGATACCTACATAGATAATAGTATTTTACGGTAGCAGTTTGCGGACCGTTTTCACAGCACCACTAAAACAAACACGAGGTGAAATTCGCACTGCGGAGTAGTTTCAAAAGAGTTGACACTGCGGAAAACGAATTTTAAATCGATTTTTCTTCCCTTTAGAAAAGATTTTCTAAAGCACACTCCGGAAAGCACGGACGAGTTAAAGTCATCAACGTGAAAAATCTCCTTGTTTCCCTGATGGTTTTAATACCACCAGTATTAATTAAAACCGATCCGTTTACACTTTACGCCAAACTTAATCCAATTAAACCTCGAAATTAACACACCGCATTTGATATTAATCGCCGAAGTCGTCGCAACGATAATTTCCTTCTCGTGCCGAAGCACAATCAATTCTCTACGTATCTCTTTCTCTCTCTGTCTACCGGTTGGCAAAGTAATAAAGAGAGAATCTGTAACTAGCCGTAAACGTCGTTATCCAGTCTAGATTTACAGTCTTTAGAAGGTAATCCAAACCCTGGAATTACCAATGAATTAACGTTTCCGTAATTTGACGTTGGAAAGGGGAGGGATTTTTCGAGGAAACTTTTCAAGTTGGTCGTTCATTACAACCGGGAGACACCCTACGGGGACGGGTGGCTGTGAATCATTTGCGTTGTGTTGGTTCCCCCCCTTTTCTTACGCCGAAATAAAACTCCAACCCCTTCTTCATCGAGCGTCTCTTCTTTGTAATAACGCCATCAGAAACTTTCAGTCCGGCCTGACGACGTCGACGTCCTCATTTCAGGACCTCCTCTTGTTTCATCCTTTCAGCAAACGTCACACGTGATATGTGTGTACATTCTGAAATTCCTGTCTGTATTTTCTTTCATCATGTCAACTACAAACAACAAGTTAGCATCGTGTGTAGAATTTGAGATTCTAGTTATTGATGATGAAGGAAAAGTAATCGATTTTGAGATGAAAACGAGTTGAAACCGGTAAAGCTTTTAGTTTTAGAGGAAAAGTATCAATTTTCATGCGGTTATCGGAACTGGGGATATAAGGTTAGTTCCATAAAACTGAATCTACAAGTCGATAATAAAAAGAAAATTGCAACGTAGCGAACATTCGAGTATTCGATTCGATTCCATGTGCAGCACATCTGGTGAGCTTCGATTTATGCAAATTACACGTTCCGGTTATAACACCAGCATTGTTCAATAAAATTCATCTTCACAAATTCATCATTCGACACAGACACATGAGTAAAATCTCATTTCACTTAATACCACTTTACTTACCTAAGTGTTATTACTGGTAGTAAAATATATGGATGATACCATAAAAGTTAAGCGTCATTTAATTGTTGTACTAATAGCTTTATGCGCTATTAAGCGAGTTTATTAACTTATACGGGTATACATATAAATAAAGGTGAGCTTTACGAGAAGGTAATTGATAAAACGAAATTGATTATATCTCCGGGTAGTTCCGGATTCCAAAAACCCGTTTGTCTAGCAACTTACACGCGTTCTTCATTGACTAGACACGGTTATTTTTATCTCTCAACTCGGGGAACACAACGATGATGGCGTGTACGTGGAAAGTTCACATCCGCAGGAAGTTCTAGGATGCACGCGAACATACCGCAAACCCGCAATTATCTAGCTACGGGCACTAATCAACACCGCCGTAGGGTTGGCGTGTTGTTCTTTTTCTTTGTAGCATTATGTCTTGGTGATTTAGTGCAAAATTAAGTGGTTATTTGTGTACTTATATTGAGTTTGGGGCAATTTTAGCACCTCGTTTGTTGTTTAAATTCTGTTCATAAAAGTTAAAAAGGCTTAAATTTTGTCGTTAAGTGATACAATATGGTTTACCATATAGGTAATCGTTATTATTTTCTTCTTATTTTGTTGATTCTTTTATTTGCCTGCTAATTAATAATAAATATCTGATTCTTCTCGTTATATTATCTATATTTCCTATATTTTTATTTATTTTGGTCTATATTTCCATCTCATATGTTGTTTGTGGTTCTATTATTTAAAATTTTCACGGAGGAGTTTTGTTTTGATTTGCATTCTATGAAATTGTTCTGTTTCCTGAATGATATCCCTAGATATTCTTAATACTTTTTTGTATTTTTACAAGTGTAGCTTTTTTAAGTAGTTCTTATCTTTAGTATTATACAATGATTGTTCACAAAAATTCTTTCATAGAAGTTGGCCATTTTTCTTCTATTACTATATGTTTTATAAAGTTTATTTCCTTCTTTTACATATTCTCGCTATTTGCCACAAGATCGTTATGTTTTCAGTTATATTCTCTATTCTTAGATTATATCTTGATTTATTTTTGTTTCTTATCGTATCTTTCATTTTGTTGGTTATTTTGTTTAGTTCATGTTTGTTTGCCTTCGCTCAGTACTTCAGAAATACTTGTTATAAAATGCGTTTTTCGGCCATTATGGTTATAACTTCTGGTACATTTCTGAAGTGATACCCTACATTGCCACATTATTGCGATATTTGAATAAAAATGAAATTAATAAGAAAGCTGATAAGATATGTCAACTTATTTTGATTCAACATACAAAATGAACTTTTTTGATGCTGATTTAACTCACGAAGCAACTCTAAAAAGAGGATACTTTAATTAATAATTGGCGATATTTCCACAAGGATCCTTCAAGAAATTAATTTTATAGCGAATTTTGAAAATTATCGATGAAAATTGCAACATCGAAAATTTTATCAAAACTTCAAATATTGTTTTCTCAAAAACTAAAAGTTATTTTTCAAAACGGGTTGGTTCATTGGAAAGAGGACACTTTTATTAACACTTTGAGAAATTTTCATACTCATATTTCAAGAAATCGATTTTATACGAATTTTTAGAACTTAATCAGCGAAGATTGCAAAATTCGATAAAATTGTCGATCATTTCAAAAATTTATTTCTCAAGAATTAAAAGTGATTTTTCAAAACGGCTTGTTGCATTAATAATAGGATACTTTAATTAATAATTGGTGATATTTCCACAAGGATCCTTCAAGAAATTAATTTTATAGCGAATTTTGAAAGTTATCGATGAAAATTGCAACATCGAAAATTTGATCGAAACTTCAAATATTGTTTTCTCAAAAACTAAAAGTTATTTTTCAAAACGGGTTGGTTCATTGAGAAGAAGACACTTTCATTACCACTTTGGGAAATTTTCATGATCATATTCCAAGAACTGGGTTTTATACAAATTTTTAAAACTTAATCTGCGAAAATTGCAAAATTCGAAAAAATTGTCGATCATTTCAAAAATTTATTTCTCAAGAACTGAAAGTGATTTTTCAAAACGGTTTTTTGCATTAAAAAGAGGATACTTTAATTAATAGTCGAGAGTGATAACAGCGACAGTTCTGTTAGTAATGAATATGATGATGAATTATAACCGAAGAGAAGAAAACTAGACGAAACTGCAACAAGAGATTTTATATATCGTATTGGGATTGTTACAATGAGGTTGCTAATGACAAACCTGATATAAATAAAGTTATATTCTATAAAAAAAGTCCTATTGGGGTTTAACTTGATTATTATCTGCAGTGTCCAACACCTAAAAGAGATACTAATTCCTATGAATGGTGGAGTACTACGTAATAGGTGTTTAATATCCGGCCAAAGCCAGATATTTGGTAACTATCCAGTATCCTGCCTATCCGGCCATTTTTTAAAATCCGACCTGATACCGGATAATTGTCGTATATCCGTTCCTCCATTAATAACGACGATAACAGATATAAGATTTTGACTGCTATATAATTTACACAGATTTTGACTGCTAGCTAAAGTCAGTAAATTTGTAAAAGCATACTATGTGAATAATAAGGAAGTTGAAATTAGGGCTAGATTTAATCAACGAAATTTTGTAACCATAAGCAAAATTGTATGGATTATTATAATTATGGCAGATAAATTATATACTAACACTAATAATGTTAAGCATAATTTAATGAGCAGGCGTCGATGTAACGTTAAAAATAAATAAATAAGATATGTTACTACATGAAAATAGAGTAAAACGTATTTATAGGAAAAAGTTTCTTTTAAATAAGCCATTCTTCGGGTTACTATTATTCTCTAAGATTGGAGTACAACCCACGAATAAACAAATTCCTCGTTAAAAAGTTTTTGGTCCCTCAAACCTCTTTTTCTTGCTACGTGTATCCTTACTTCCACTCAAGATTTTAACCCAACGTAAGGTTTCCTAGATCTCATTTCGATACGTTTATCAAGTTAATAATTAAGATCAAGATAAAAGTAGATAAAAATAAAATTTGTCCATAATTTTGGTAATCTTTTATAATAAATCTAACTCTTTAATGCGGTCTATAACCGTATACAAGAACACGATAACTTTAAGACCAAGACTCTCTCTAAAATGTTCTATAATAATAAATTAGTTAATAAATTTATAGAATCTCTCTAGTATTCGCTATATCTTGGAAGTTTCCTCCTTGGAGATTTGGAACCCCTTTGAGTCTTAGAGGTCATAATTTCTAGAGAGCAGTAGGAAGGGCGATACACCGGATTATTAGTGCGTTTCTGGTATGACACAGTACTCGTATTACCTAAGCACGACCCCTTATTGGCGGTCGATATCAATTACTGCCTTGGTAATTTGACAGATGTGACGGTGATCCCTATTGGGCTATCGCTCAACCGAATTTCCTATAACGACAGGAAGTCCTCCAACCCGGTAACACAGTTTCAGCAATGCGATCTAATTACGATGGGATATCGAGAGGGGAGATCGATTCGCAAGTTTCTTTTAATTTCCTATTTTAGGAGTTTTTTGCTTAAACATAAGTGACTTTTAATCGTTTTTGTTAGAACCCAACTTTTTGAACATTTGTATTATCAAAGTTTTCAATTTTATCACTAATCTCTTCCTTTAACATTCCAACAGAACTCATCCCCTAAGTATTAACCTACATTTTCACAAAGCAAATCCCTCAAAAGTCCCTACCAGACATTAACCGAAGGAATTAAGATAACTAAATCACCAAGAGTTTCCGTCGTTGAGATAGAATCGCGTTTGATGTCGAGGATCCTTTGTGTTACGATCTTGATTACTATTAATATCGTGCATCTTTTAATGATATTTTTCTTTTAATTTCAGATATATTTTTTTAGCCATATACACGGCTGAAATGATCATCAAAGGAATAGCCAAAGGGTTCATCCTAAACAAGTACACATACTTAAGAAATCCTTGGAATTGGTTAGATTTTGTTGTAATAACGAGTGGTTACGCAACGATTGGTATGGAAGTGGGTAATTTAGCCGGATTGAGGACGTTTCGTGTGTTGCGCGCTCTGAAAACGATATCCATACTGCCTGGTACGTTTCCAACAAACCATATTTTTATATTACATTCACCAATCTTTATCTAACACAGCGAAAGGGCACAAATGCTATACGCGTCCGCGATATTTTCCAAAGGGCAACAAGGTATTGGATTGCCGAGAGCGTATATCGCACACCACGGGGCCCTCTATTTACATAAAGTCAATAATTCTGTCCACACAATTTGTGTTCTTGTGAGCTGACCCCAATAGCCAACGCTAAAAATATATTATATTCTTAAACCGCCATAAAACCATTTCAATAAAATTAGAATTAAATGGTAAATTTTTTTTTGTTTGTCCATTTAAAAAGAACAGACGGTTTATTTTAAAGGGCAATTGGCATTCAAAGTGTCGCCCCCGAAACGTTGAAATAAACAGGAAATGGAGACTATGTTTGAAGGGACCCGAGGTTCCTTTCGCTCGGCTTGCTCTGGTGCTACAATTTGAATTTAAATTAGATTTTCTCTGACATCGTTTTGCGCTCTGTGTGAATTTATGTAAAGCTGTCATGTAATGTTAAAAAAAACTTTATTACAGTCAAGTCTTGTATAAAAATGATTAATATTAATCATTTAAATTGTCCTATTTAACAATAACTAGTTTGAATGTTCGTCTTTAGCACGACGGCAACACGACGTTTAGAATTTAGATCAAAAGCGTTCCATCTTGTTTACATTTACTAACGAGGTACAAACATAAAGCGGGATCTTTCAAAGAGTATTAAAGGGTTCTTGGGAGTATAAGTTTATGAGAAAGGTATGGTTCAATTCTTTTTTCTTTCTTCTTGATTGTAGTTGGGTAAAATTTTTTTTATATGAAAAATCTTTTTATGTATCAATATGATTTTATTTGTAATATCTTTTGTTCAAACATTTTGATGATTAGAAGACTCTATATTTTTATTATTTACCTTAAGTAACTAATAAACTAGATTATTTGTTTATTTTTTGTTTGTTCTGCCAAAATATTTGATTGATTCTCTTTCTACGGTAAAACGAACCGGTACTTGACGTTAGAGAAATCCTTCTTTAATAAATTTTCAATAACGCGACCTCGCTCAACTCCTTATCCAACCAGGACATATTGACATCTTTGGCTCACGGCAAGAATCCGAGATTGTACCGTCACCATCTCGTATTTCACCTTTCCCCCAAAGGAAATACACCTTCCTTAACACCGTCCCTGACGGATCATATTTTTCCACAGATAAGAGAAAATGTGAAATGGATCTCAGAAGATGATAGCCGCATATCAATCTTGTTTTTCCAAAAATACTTTCTTAGATTTCACATTTTTTTAGGTTTAAAAACGATCATCAACGCTTTGTTACACTCTTTCAAGCAATTAGCCGAAGTAATGACATTGACAATCTTCTGTTTGATGGTGTTCGCCCTGTTTGCCCTTCAAGTCTACAAAGGAGAACTCAGGAATAAATGTGTGCTTAGGTTATATGATGATAACATCACCCATGAATCATGGCACAAGTAAGTTTATAATTTAATTTTAATTTTTTGGTATTATTTTCCGGTGCTTTTAGTTGGACAAGAAATCCAGAGAACTGGCTCGTGAAAAACGAAACAGACGAACCGTTATTATGCGGGAACGTTACTGGTTCAAGACATTGCCCATTAACTCATATTTGCTTATGTGTTGGGGAAAATCCCAATCATGGATACACCAGCTTTGATAATTTTTTGTGGTCTATGCTAACCACTTTTCAATTAATTACTTTAGATTATTGGGAAAACGTGTATAACATGGTAACAAAAACATGCAAAAATATATCCTACAATTTTTTGACTAATTTTATTTTAGGTTCTTTCATCTTGTGGCCCAATAAGTGTATCATTTTTCACAGTTGTCGTATTTTTTGGTTCATTTTACTTAATCAACTTAATGTTAGCCGTAGTCGCGCTTAGTTACGAAGAAGAAGCGGAAATTACACAAGAGGTATCTCATCTCATCATCTCACATTATAAGTTACATTATTTATATCACCTAATTTCTCTTGCAGGAAAGAAAAAAGGAATTAGTAGATCACCGCGAAGATTCAACGTTTAGTTTCGATCCAACGTGTATCCAAGTAAAAAAACTTTCAAAGCATAAATTAAAGAAAATCGACGCTCGTAAGGGCGTTTTACTTTCGTCGTATACAAGAAAGAAAACGCGTCGAAGAAAACGACAACGTAGCGGCATTCATCCAACTCCATCGGGAAATATGTCCAAACAAGAAGAAGGAAAAGATAGTAGTGCTAAGTCGTCGCCTAAAGCGAGAAGTCGAAGTGTTACACCGAGTCCTAGTCCTTCGCCGAAAAGCCGAGTCTCATCGAGGCCTCAAGCTCTTCCTTTGGCGGCAAATCCAGTACCGAAACATGTTCAACTCGCCGATCCAAAATGTCCGGATACTTTAAGACCATCAAATACATTGGGTAAGATCATTATTTTATTTTTTATTTATAATTATAAGTGGGGGCCTAATTCTAAAAATTGAAAAAAATTAAAAATAAACGATGAAGAGATGGTAGATGAATGAATGGGCAGAGAAGATGGAGAATTGAAACACGGACGTATACAAGGCAGATATGGAAAGAAAACAAGAAACGATAATGGAAGAAGATTGTTGGATTTCTGCACAATACAAAATCTCACTATGATTGTTAAGAAGAAGCTATGCCGAGCTTCTTTAGAAGCTTGCAGCCATGGCGCTACAATATGGTTGTCAATATTGTATCGAAAAGCGTCGATATGCAAGCTTCTGCTTAACTAGAATAAGAAAAACATCTTAGGATGTTATTACACAGGTCGCTTGTGGCCGAGGCGCTGTATTATGCCTTGTCCAATATTGTATTAATATGGCATGAATATAAATATCTGGGGTTAATCAAGCAAAATCATGCACTCCCCAACGGAAGCTTAGCCGTGGTATATCGATACGTATCGATGGTTCGGCTGTTCTTTTTGATACGCTGAGGTGCTAAATTATGACTTATCTTGTCTTTCATTATACTATGAATGGTAGTGCATTCACTTTTCAGTTCAAACTAAGCGGAGGTCGCTTCCGACCGAGACGCTACATTACAACGCCTAGCCCGCAGGCAATGTCGGCTAAATCTCTCTCGGCTAAATAAATATGTGTTCTAAACTTAAAGGCAGCCATAAATACACAAAAGAAAAGAAGGTACAAATGAAAAATCACCAAACAAAAAGAATACAAGATAGATCAAGGAATAAGGGTCATAATAGAAACAGAAAACACTTTTTGCAAGTCTATCGTCATCTATCACGATTTTCATCTTGACTGTTCGCAACATTTGCTGTGTCTTGGAGGTGTCTGGTCTTGTTTAAGCCGCGTATGTTATTATAAGTCTTCTTGCTGATTTGCAGATTCTTATGTTGCTTTCCACTTTAAAGTGTTTGCTCGTCCATATAATGTATTGTAATAATATTGGGTTCCACTCATAATTTTATTAATTAATTAATAAACAATAGTTTTGTTATAAGAAATAAATTTACAATAAAGAGGAAATAATGACATTCCGTACAAAAATCCTTGTAAATCGAGACCCTAGAGAGTTTATTAGTACTTCTTCAAATCGTTCAAATTAATATTATAATTAAAATATAAAGAACAACTCACGTATTGATATCAAAGTTGATATACCGAGGATAGTTAAAGCTGATCGTTGAAAAATTTCATAAAAGTTTGTTATAGTTCTCATTAATTTCGTCGTTATTTGTAAAGATGTTTTAATCAATGATAAATCCGTTCGTATTTCCGTCGTAGATTAAGAAATATTCTTGTATTTAGTTAAAAAAAGAGGCGACAAAAAAAACGAAACATAACCTCCAAATCTAAAGTATTCAATTTATGGGTGATTAGTGATTACAGCCAAAAAAACTTCTTGAAATACCTAAAAACATAAAGCTTATAATGAATTACATCAGATTCAAGTGATTTTAATCAGTTTAAAACCGAAATGTTGAAAATTAAAAATGTGAAGATTTTGAAAGAAACGGAATATAAATTTTGGAATTAAAGAAGAATTAATGTGAAAAATTGTGTCAAAGGGGAATGAAATAATTCAGAGTATTCAGACATTGAAGGATTTCAATAAATATAGTTTATTTAAAAAGTAATTTTTGAAAATTTGGAAGAAAAACCAAATGTCAATAAGAGATGGCGCTCAGAAATACAAATTTTTTACACTTTTTCTTGTGGTATCAAAGAGGGTGATGGACAAAAAAGAGAAGTTTTTGTCGATTTTTGCTGAAAGAAGGGTGAAAAATGAAGAACGAGGACGCTAAGATTCGCTTCCTGATCATCATTGAGTAAACATCTATTTGAAAACGCTCGTGAAATCCTACGAAGATAAATTTCTGAAGAAAAAACATAACCAAAGAAATTCACAATTGAGGGAGAAGAAAAGAAGATAAAATTAATTAAGAAGAGTACGATAACCAACCTGGGAAAGAAGACATCGGAATAGTTTTTCCGGAAAGCCACCAAGGGGGTACCAGCACATTCCACCAACGGGGAAAAAGGAGCAGTTCAAACCAGGGAGGAATCAAGATTTCAATCAATTCCACCAACATCTGTAAAACCAAAGAAGTTAAGATTTTATTTTTATTTTCGATATACCATTTCTAAAAAAATAACTCACTTACCTCGTGTGTAATCCAGAGCGAATCAAAATCAATTATTTCAGATCACTTTGATTATTTCAATTATCAGAATCAATTTATTTAAGAAGTTTTAGAGCTGAAAGTTATAGATTAACTTAAATGTTTTTTTTTTAAACATGAGCAACTGTGTTTCGTTTACATGAGCCCTAGAAAACAAACCCTGAGATCGTTTACTTTCGTTATTTTTTTTTTGTAGAGTCTCGTGTTAGATTTTTTTTTTCGTTTCAATAATTTTGATTGTAAAGTATTTTTTCTATTTTCTATTAAAGATTGTTATTTATTTATTGTATTTAATTAAAGTATTTTTATTCATTTTCGAAAGACGAACACACATATTATCACAGTATCTTAAGCGGCCTGACATTCTGTATGCTTTCCTTGTATGTTCTTGGACTTCACTATATAGATCCCCGTAGCTTGATATCAGCTCCCACATATTTAATCTGCTTCATTTATTTAACCCTTTGTGTCCCGACGGTACTTTAAAGTACCGGTAGTTTTAAACACACATTTTTAAATTAGCATCTTTTTTGACACTTTTAGATTATACGAAAATGTAAGTTTCATTTTAACATTTTTTTAAAAAATATTTTTCCAGTCTAACCCTTCAATTATTATACATCATTTTAAAGAGAAAGCTGTGAGCTTTAATTTAAAGTAAGTCTCATTCCTTAATTTCAATAAATACGGCTTCCAGGAATTTTTAAATTAGCATCTTTTTTAACACTTTTAAGTTATACGAAAATGTAAGTGTTGTTTCAACTATTTTTTTCTTAATATTTTTCGAACCCAACCCATCAATTATTATACATCATTTTAAAAATAAGCTTTGAGCTTTCATTTAAAATAAGTCTCATTCCTTAATTTCAATAAATACGGCTTCCAGGAATTTTTAAATTAGCATCTTTTTTGACACTTAGGTTATACGAAAATGTAAGTCTTATTTCAACTTCTTTTTTCTCAATATTTTTCCAATCCAACCCGACGATTATTATATGTCATTCTAAACAGAAAGCTTTGAGCTTTAATTTAGAATAAGTCTCATTCCTTAATTTCAATAAATACAGCTTCCAGGAATTTTTAAATTAGCATCTTTTTTGACACTTTTAGGATATACGAAAATGTAAGTTTTATTTCAACTTTTTTTTTCTTAATATTTTTCCAATCCAACCCGACGATTATTATATATCATTCTAAAGAGAAAGCTTTGAGCTTTAATTTAGAATAAGTCTCATTCCTTAATTTCAATAAATACGGCTTCCAGGAACTTTTAAATTAGCATCTTTTTTAACACTTTTAGGGTATACGAAAATGTTAGTTTTAACTCAATACTCTTTTCCTCAATATTTTTCTAATTCAACCCAACGATTATTATATATCGATGTAAACAGAAAGCTTTAAGCTTCAATTTAAAGTTAGTTTCATTTCTTAATTTCAATAAACACGGCTTCCAGAAATTTTTGAATTAGCATTTTTTTTTGACACTTAGATTATGCGAAAATAGGGGGATTGCACAAAGTTTCAAAATTTTTGACGTCTTGGGACACAAAGGGTTAATGATGTTATGATCCTTCAGTTTGCATCTTACCAGTTCTTTGGATGTTACTGGCCATTTGGCTTGTAAGTAGTTAGGCGTTATGAGTAGTCTTAGCAAGTTGTCTTCAGAATCAACAATGACTTGTATAGCAAACAAGATAGACATAAGTATTATCCATTTTATTATTCTACGCAAATCTGTATAGTTTTATACAATTCTCCTAGGATTGTTTTTGTGAATGCTTTGAGCGTGCTAATAAGAAGTGTTATTCCTCGATAATTATCAGGGATTATTTTGTGGCCCTTTTTGAATTTTGCGATCGTTATGCTGCTTTTCCATTCATGTGGTATTTTCTTCTCGGTTATGATACTTCCGAAGCGTTTTAATATCTCATTTTCTAAGGTTTCTCCTCCATATTTCAGCATTTCTTTGGTATCTCGTTCTTTTCCGATTTTTAAGCTGTTTTAGAATGTCTTTGGGGGTTTCCGAAATATGTCTACTTTACTATTAGTACCATATTGTCTACCTACTATACTTTTACGGTATAGACAAACATTAAAGTATATTCGGGGTCCACGGCTAAAATTAATTAGGAATCGCAGGTGTAGAATCATCTTATTTTTAGAGGTTTGAAAAAATAAATACTTACAAATAGTACGTAGTCAAAAAGAAATAAGAATAAAAGAATTTATTTTTTTGAATAGATACTTAAGTATTTGTATAAGTAAAATAAATAAACAATCAATGATCAGCTTGAGTAAAACGTAAGATTTCGGTTTAAATAAACATTAAATTACGTTGTTTTGAAAATGGGTTGATCTGGTTAAAACAAATTTAAATATAAATTGATGAAAGAATATATATCTAATTTGAAACAATAAATTCCCTTTATTATTTAATTTTCTTTGGTGAAAAAATTGGGCTAAAAATTTGTAAATAAATGTTTTTGGCTTTGTAATAAAATTTGTGAGGTAAGCGAGTTTTCAATAAATAGTTAAACGCTCGTAAACATTTTTTGCGACCTCTTTTTAACTGACGTAAACGTATCAATATTTTAGCTCCTATTCAACCAAGTTTTTATTAGATTAGTTACTTTTACGGGTTGTATTTTTCGAAACACTTTTTAATATTTTAATAGAAAAAAAAATTGAAATGTGTTTCGTTTAAATCTTAACAAAAACGTCAGACGGTCACCATTGAGACCCAACCACCGAAAACCTCGCTATCAGAAACATCAAAGGACAAGAACGAAACGGCAAACGATTCTAGATTTTCGGCTCTTTGCCAGAAATAAATCGACCATCAGTTGAATTTCAATCGGTCTTCCGCACGGACAATTCTCCATTTAAAGAACAAATTGTTGCACACCGTATCGACTTATTGTATTTCGAGATAATAGAAAATTGTATTGTTACAAGTACAGATTTCTAAAGGAGAAATAAATCATTATTCAATCGTATAAATTATCGGTCGTTAATTTTAATGTTCGATAGCTACGTTTAATTTCTATGTTTAAATTAGTTTATGTGCACTTCGAACGAGGTGTTTACAGCAATTTATCAGTTCCGGTGTGTTTACGGTAAATACTCATCTACATTTATGCTCAATTAAACGTCAGCGAAGTAAATAATAATCATTCTGGGACAATTTCCAATTATGAACTACAATTTCCCCAACTAATAATAATAAATTTTCATTATAATATTATAAAATTAGAAGTCAATTCTATTTTTTTAAGCAATTATAAACTCGTGTTTTTATTTGTATTTGAAATCATGTAATAAGAAAAAGTTTAGGCTAAACCCGAATGTTTCTGGTTCTAGGTATAGTGTTATTCTACTTTTCGTACTTTCCTTTCAACTACTTCAATAAAAATATACAACAATCTATCGCTGAATAACAATTAAAACTAGAACTAACACTCTGAAGACGCACGGCTAAACCCGAAACTTTCTATTTCTAGGTCTAGTGTTAGTTCTAGTTTTACACTAGCACTGTTACTATGTAAAACTAACACTATACCTACAACTGGAATCATTCGGGTTTAGCCGTCTTTAAAGACATGCGGCTAAACCCGAATGATTCCAGTTCTAGGTATAGTGTTAGTTCTACTTTTACACTTACACTGTCACTAGAACTAACATTAAACCTAGAAACATTTGAGTTTAGCCGTACGTCTCTTAAGACGATTATTATTGACATGTTACATTTTATGTGGGACAAAGTAAATAGGTACACCCTGATTTCTATGGAAATATATTTTTGTATACTACATCTTAAGTGAAATTCCCTGTAGGTAATTACTATCATATAAAAAAAATAACATAACTATTATTTCCATTCGATTAACTTTTATTATAACTTTTATTTTAGCTCCAAATCGTTTGGGTCCATCAAGCAGACAAACGAGTAGTAACAGCGAAGGTAACAACCGTGAATCTTCATTGGACGATTCCGGTGTAGTCGACGATCACGAAGACGGCGATGTTACCTCTGAAGACGTAAACACAACAATCGCCACGCAAATGTCTACCACACAAATAGTGCGACGAGTTGAAGTGACACCAGTGACTTTATCTTTAAGTCCGAAAGACATTAAAGTGATTAAGTGTAACGGTATAGGTAGTTGTAAGAAGAAACAACACAACATGTACACAATTCGACCTGACTATTTATCGCACATCGTTGTAATTGGTAAGTTAAAGAAAAATGATTTTTTGTTTTAATGAAAAGTGAAAAGAGTTAATTTTGTTGTGATTAGATGACATCCCAGATAGAAATTGTAGTGGTTGTGAACAATGTTGTATCGATTACGCTGGATGGTTGCAATTTCAACAAGCCTTGTATGGTATTGTGAAAGATCCTTTGTTTGAATTAACTATTACGGTGTGCATTGTTTTAAATACTATGTTTCTGGCTATGGAACATCATGGTATGAGTGAATCTGTATTACGTGCTTTAGATATAGGCAATAAGGTAATAAGATAAAAAAATTAATTGGGGTACTAAATAGTTATTTTTTAAAGGTTTTTACTTCCATTTTTACATTCGAATGTTGTCTAAAACTCATGGCACTCAGCAAGGAATTTTTCGAGTGCGGCTGGAATATTTTCGATCTGATAATAGTCTCGGCGAGTTTGCTCGATCTGATTTTCGAGTTAGTGGACGGATTGTCTGTTTTAAGAGGCTTAAGACTGGTAGTTCTTTTAAATAATTTACCCGTTTAAGGATTTAATCACGATATTGTTGTAGTTACGGGTTTTAAAATTGGCACAATCGTGGATTACGATGAAAGTGCTTTTAAGTATCATAATAAGTACAATAGGAGCTTTAGGAAATCTAACTTTTGTACTAGTCATTGTTATTTATATTTTCGCCGTTATTGGGATGCAATTATTTTCAAAGGACTATTCACCAGACAAATTTTATCCAGACGATGTACCAAGGTGCATGATTTTGTTTCAATATTTATTTTGTTACTATTTTTGATTCTTTTTAGATGGAACTTTACAGATTTTTTTCATTCGTTCATGATGATTTTTCGTATACTTTGTGGTGAATGGATTGAACCGTTATGGGATTGTATGAGAGCAGAAGCACACGAAGTATATCAAAAAATATTTATTATGATCAGAAAAAAATTATAAAACATTTATTTTAGAGTCCTGGAGTTTGTTTAGCAGTTTTCTTACCTACCTTAGTAATGGGCAATTTCATGGTACTGAATTTGTTCTTAGCCTTGTTGCTCAATAGTTTCAATTCAGAAGAACTGAAGACCAGGAAGGAGGTACAAACAGAATTGCATGATGAGACCACACAAAAAGTAATGCGTATAAATCATTATAATTATTGTGTTGTTGTCTACGTGGCGTGGCAAAAAGATCTAAATCACAACAAAAAATGAGCCCTAACAAATTGTCTTTTTTGACGTCTTTCCATTTTTAATCTGTTTTTTTGTAAATGGGACCTCACGGACTTGTGTCACCTATGTTCAACGTTGTGTAAACTAGAATATGCGTTAACAAGTTTGAATGTGAATGAAAAAGCATTGCATGAACAATTTTGTTTTGCATGATTTTTTATTTTGATAATTTGAATAAGTTAACAGTTCGCATGCAAAATATAAAATTAACTAGTTACCACTCTCGTTTAAACTTTAATTCTCTACAACGTTGAATTCAATTTTGCTTCCAATTAATATTAACGAAGTTACGCCGTTAAAAACTCTCATTGGGATGAGTATTAATGTTAAAACTTTTTGAACCCCTTTTCGGTACCCGTTTCTAGTTCCACGTTTTCATCGTCTCATCTTTCATAACATACGCAGTGATAAGGTAAATCAAAGCTCGAGGCGCGGAGAGTTTAGGTGTAAATTTTCAAAGCTTTCCCCTGCGACGATAAATTTTAACCAGCGGTTTTTAACGAAATAACACAAAAAAAAGTTGCGAAAAGCCTCGTTAAAAACCACCCCCTTTTATCCCTTCGACCTACAGTTTTCGATCCTATGGGAGACAGTTTAGTAGAGTAAATAATAAAAATGCTAAAAAGTAGACATGGTTTATTCTCTGGGGGCTTTAAAAGTTTTTACAACCGCGCCTGGTGCTGCCACACTACAATTTCGATGCATTACGTCCCCTGCGGTGGTAGACAACGTTATAGTACCTTGTTCTTTTTTATTACTTAACTCATTTTTTATAAGTATTTTGTACGGACACGTTTTTTGATTTTTTTTATAAAATGTATTCTAATTAAGATGTATTTATAGTAAATAGCTAAAACAAAGAGCTTGTTTGTATATTATGTAGAGCTATTTTTTTACCGAAAGATTCAAAATAATTGTTTGACAAATTTTATAATAATATTAATCTATTCGTTTTGTTTTAATGTATTTTATAGGATTATATCAGTAGTGAATGCGTGTACAACTGTCTCTTTTCATTTTCTGGTTTTATTTAAATACAGAACGCTGAACGTTATAGTTTCCACTTCTGGTTCTGACGGCAAACACTGGAGCACAACGCTGTTTTGTTGGTCAAAACTCAATAACTTTTAAATGCGTAATCCTATAAAGCTGAAAATATATATAATTTAATGCTGATTAAAGTATTAAAATTAATTTCATCGAAATCATTAACATAGTTGCAATAATAGATCGTTAAAGGAACGATAAATAATTTAAACCACAACATCAAATTTCACTGGAATTTAAATAATTATCAAAAATTATTTAAAACAATTTATTTCAAATACTTATATTACAAAAATTAATTTAATTATAGATTGAGTTTTTCAATAACATATCTAATTGATTATGTGGATAAAAACATTTTGACTGCCAAAAAATCTTTGTTTCTGGATTTCAAGTGTCTTCTGAACTTTTACCATTATTGATGTTCAATGTCGATCAAATCAATCAAACTATAACCATGATTTCCGAAGATCAGTTATGACTATGACGAAACTACGAGAACATTAAATTCAACGCTGATTTCAAATTGCAATCTGCACACTATAAAACATGACAATACATCACAGTATTCTTTAATGGTGGGAAGACAATTAAGTCCACGCAGAACAGATGACTTCTGTACAAACTGTATAAGACTCCCTTTCCGGCCGCTCCTAGTAGAATAAATAAACTACTGCTTTTATAACTTCAGCTCTCAAAAAGGCTTTTCCAGGTATCCTACATTTCCCCTTTGCTTTACAACGTTCTCCGTTATGACATTTACAATCGATTTGCAACTCAACATTTGCAGCTAAATATCCCGTATTTTGAGCAATTTATTTTGCAAACTATATTGAAATTGGACTTTTCCATAATATCGCTGTGTATATACGCGATGAATCAACGACAAATAAACAAATTTATATCAAATATTCATTCTCTTCTCGGAATCATTTTAATATTAAATTTACCCGGACGGCCCTTTACATCCCCACACACAAAATGAAATTTAATTACTTTCTGCAAGTGAATTAAATTTGTTAATTTTATTTTAAAAGTTCTTGTAATAGTATGGTAGTAAGCTTTAGATAACAATCCTTTTTTATCGTTTAAGTATGATAAGCTACGTAATAAATTAAATTCATTTAAATCAGAACCAACGAATTTTCTTTCAATACTTTCATTTTAGAACAGTACACGACGTGGATTCCCGCAGATTAATTTTGTATCCTTTCAATAATATTTGCGTTTCTGTCTTGGCTATTCGCCCATAACACTTGAAAGAATTGATGATGTATTTGGTCCAACCCTTCAGTTTATAGCAAGCGAAAAAAAATTCGTCTTCTTATCCATTTACTTGTATCATTAAATCGTTTATGGTCTTATTTTTTAAGCATACTACTATTTATCGTAATTCGAAATTGATTCCATACATATTGGTGATCAACAATGAACATTCGAAAATGCTTCAAAGTTGTTGTAATAATCTTAGATGTATGATGGTAAAATTAAAGATGAATAAGGCTATATTTTAAAACGCTATAGTATAACTGAGATCGTAGCATTACGTATCTGTTTTTAGATGCATATAAAGCTCAGCTTTATTCCGCTTTGACTTAACTCGTATGCATTAATATTAATCTTTTCATCTTTATCTATTCATAACCGCGCTGCAAAAGCCTGGATTCCATTGACGTTGATTCTCTTAACATCGTCATATATTCCATGTATCCTTAAATAGCCCAATATTACAAGGGATTAGATGTGGTTTAATTGGTAGAGCGCCGAGGACAGAATTTATAAAGTTGTAGATTCGTATTTCAGCGTTACCCATCTCTCCTGCTTGGTTCTTAACGCATATAAAGCCCTACTTTATCCTTATTGATCGTTACGGTTAAGGTCAGAATTTAAATAAATACCATTCTATGATTAATGCAAAATAGAACATTTTTTCGTTGAAAAGCTTACGATTTTATTTACATATAATAATTCCATAAAGATTTATTAAAACCCCGATTTATATCGATTTTTTTGACAATTGTTTATCCTTAAAATGAGTATAAGTATTCTGTTAACGATTTTCACCATTAAATAAACAAGTTTAATGGTGAAAATCGTTAAATCACTATTAAACTTGTCTAAGAATTCTAAATAAATAGGTACTACAAGTTTTATTTTTTTAGTTTTATATATAACCTAGGAAAGAAATTTGAAATCAACACTAAAAATTATGTGATCAACTCAAAAATTAATGGAGGTTTTAAAAAATATATTTTTAGAAAAGTTTATTTGAACAAAACATCAAAAAAACTCTCAAAGTGATATGATATGAATTGTAACGCATCGACCACAAGCGATCTCGTCTTAATCAATTGAAGTCATGGACTCTCTATCCTAATATAAGCCGAGGTCGCTTGCGGCCGAGGCGCTACAATTAATCCACCTCAGATTGATTAATACATCGCAACTGCTTTATAACACGGCATTTTAGATTCTTTACGAGCAGCCGAGGTCACTTGTGGCCGTGGCGCTACAATTAATCCACCTCAGATTGATTAATACATCGCAACTGCTTTATAACACGGCATTTTAGATTCTTTACGAGCAGCCGAGGTCACTTGTGGCCGTGGCTCTATAATTAATATATCAATCCAAATTGTAGAGGCTCAACCCCAAGCAACCTCGGCTGATCGCAAAGAATCCAAGGTCATTTGCGGCCGTGGTTCTACAATTACTATATCAACCCAAATTGTAGAGGCTCAGCCGCAAGCAACCTCGGCTGATCGCAAAGAATCCAAGGTCGTTTGCGGGCGTGGTTCTACAATTAATGTATCAACCCAAATTGTAGAGGTTTAGCCGCAAGCGTTCTCGGCTAATATTAGAGTAGAATTTATGAATTCAGCTAATTAAGCCGAGGTTGGTTGCGGCCGAGGCGCTGCTATATATTGACAAATGTCGGGTTGATATGATGTTAATTATAGCGCATCGGCTGCAAACAATCTCGGCTTAATTAAACAAACCCATGGATTTTCTGTTTTAATATAAGCCAAGGTCGCTTGCGACCGAGACGCTACAATACCATATCCACCCCAACTTGATTAATAGATCTATCAGATTCTTTGTGCTTAGCCGAGGTTAAGTGTAATAATTAACAATTATTAAAAAAATTAAAAGTCAATTTCTTCCCCAATCGTAATGAATGTTTGAGAAATATACCGCAATATGGAATAATATACAGGATGTTCCATTAAAGAAAACGTAACTTTGTTTAGTCATAACTTTTTGAGTGACCCTGTAATGTTTATGTTATATTTATTATATTTTTAAACCCATTTAAAATAAATTACAATAATTTTGGATTTTTCGGTATTCTAGCTTTTTGCTTGAAAAAAATACAAAAGCATGTTTTGTTATATTTTTGTATTCTAGTTATAAAACAATTCGTGTATTCGTTTATTTATAAAATAATTAAACAAAAAGTATATTAGTAATAGTTACTTAAAAATAATTATTCCTTATTTTTTATTTTGTGCGTCAAAACATAATATGTATTGGGTGTATAGCAAAACTTGTACCGTTCGTAATAGGAAGTTGGTGATGAATCCAAACTGGCTCAAAGTTTCGATCGGATACGGGACATCGTCAGGAAAAAGAAACTCGGTCGAGTGCAGGAACAACAGCAAAACGAAAATAATTCCAGGTTGGAACAAATCGTTAGAGAAGTTATGCAAAGACATGCTGAAGAGGAAGCATTTGCTAAAAAAGGTAATAATATTTTCTTTTCCAACAAAAATTTATTATTATCATTTTAAGGCATTACTCCTAAAGCTGTACAACAAACCATCGTCGCTTTTCCAAGGGACAAAAGAAGCTATCAAGAGGCTATGAATAGACCGATTTCAATAATTAGTTATGATCCACCTGATTATCAAGTAAACCCCATCAAAATCATTCACTTCTAATAATAATTTTATTTCTATTTTAACGTTTAGGAAGTTATTCTTGAAAAACCAGCAGAAACACAACTACCTAATAAAAGGCACTCAACGTTAATAAATGGAAACTCAGATGACAATAATGTTCCGGTTGCTGTTGAAGATCCAAAAATTCAAAAAAAAATTCTTCCTCAATTATCATCAGCTTTGGGAACAACATGTGATAGTAAAGGTCAATAATAAAAATTAAAAATGACTATTAACCTAATACATTTTTTTTTGTAATTAGATGAAACCTCAATGGAAAGTGTAGAATTAAAAAATTTTAACCGAACAATTTCCGCGGATACAGAAAACGAAGAAGAATCCGCATTATGCCCAGAGAATAAAGATTCGAAAAATCAAAAAGAAAAAAATCCACGCGATGAAGATAGACCATGGCAAACATTAGTTTCTTATGTAGACGAACTCACCGTTGGTGGTAGAAGAAATTCAAAGGGCCAATACGTAGATGGTATGGGTAGTTTTCCCGGTTTTGGGAAAAAGAAAAAACCTAAAGTACCCCCAAATTGTTTTCCACCGCAATGTTATGACAAATGTCCGTTTTTGGATAAATGTATCGAAACGAATATCGGGCAACAATGGACCAAAATGCGAACGGCCGTTGTTTCCGTTGTGGATACCCCAGCTTTTGAATGGTTCATATTAGTTTTAATTTTTGCATCAAGTGTCACTTTGTGTTTCGAAGACATCCATTTGGATGATAATCCAAACTTGAAAAGCGTTTTGTATTGGACTAACTTAGTGTTTTCTATTATTTTTATTATTGAAATGGGTTTAAAATGGCTTGCTTTAGGTTTTCATCGATATTTTACAAGTTTTTGGACGTTACTTGATTTTCTTATAGTTTTTGTAAGTACATATAAAAGTCTCGATTAAAATACAACAACAAAAATATTAATCTTTTAGGTGTCATTATTTAGTTTGTTAATCGAAGAAAACGAAAACTTGAGAGTTTTGCGTTCTTTAAGAACATTGAGAGCTTTGAGACCTTTACGAGCAATAAGTCGATGGCAGGGAATGAGAATCGTCGTAAACGCACTTATGTACGCAATACCTAGTATCTTTAACGTGTTACTCGTGTGCCTTGTATTTTGGTTGATTTTTTCTATAATGGGAGTGCAGTTTTTTAGTGGAAAATTTTTTAAATGTATTGATGCCGATGGTGCTATGTTACCAATAACGGTAAGCTTTCAAATTTTGTCTCATTTATTTCATCAAAAATTTTCAATTTTAGGAAGTTGACACAAAAGACGAATGCCATTATAAGAATTATACATGGGTCAATTCAAAAATATCTTTTGATCACGTTGGAATAGCTTACTTAGCTCTATTCCAAGTCGCGACATTTGAAGGTTGGATGGAGGTTATGGCTGATGCTGTAGACGCACGAGGTGTTGACCTCCAACCTCAAAGAGAAGCCAATTTGTACGCATACATTTACTTCGTTATTTTCATAGTTTGCGGATCGTTTTTTACCCTTAATTTATTTATTGGAGTTATTATCGACAATTTTAATATGCTCAAAAAAAAGGTGTTATTAGAATTTTTTTATTTATTTATTTGCTAATTTTTGTATGTTTGTAGTATGAGGGTGGAGTTTTAGAAATGTTTTTAACCGAAAGCCAAAAACATTATTACACTGCAATGAAGAAACTTGGACGAAAAAAGCCTCAAAAAGTCATTAAGAGACCGATGAATCAATTTTTAGCTATGTTTTACGATCTCTCGAATTCGAGACGTTTCGAAATCGCCATTTTCGTTTTGATTTTTTTAAACATGCTCACCATGGGCATTGAACACTATGATCAACCGCATGCCATTTTCTTTGTTCTCGAAGTTAGTAATGCTTTTTTTACCACTGTATTTGGATTGGGTAAGTATAACAATATTTAAACTACACTAAACTATTTTTTAAACGTCCAGATATAACAACATTAACCTCAATTTACAAAAAACATGAAATGCATCTTTTTCTCAGTAAAGTTCTCTCAGACACAACAAATTTGATCACTCCAAATTACTTCGTGCACACTTAATTATATTACAAATAGATTATTGTTTGACTAAAACAACTCTCGATTGTCCAAACATCAAAACCATGAAGTTGCATGTTTGAAAAAACTTTCGTAGGCGTGCAGACGACCCTCAGGAGCACTCTAATGATGTGCTCCTGAGTGAATTTTGCAATTTTCGCCGATTAAGTTTTAAAAATTCGTATAAAATCAATTTTTTGGAATATGAGTATGAAAATGTCCCAAAGTGTTAATAAAAGTGTCCTCTTTCCAATGAACCAACACATTTTGAAAAATAACTGTTAGTTTTTGAGAAAACAATATTTGAAGTTTTGATAGAATTTTCGATGTTGCAATTTTCCAAAGATTTCGTGTGGAAATATCGCCAATTATTAATTAAAGTATCCTCTTTTTAGAGTTGCTTCGTTAGTTAAATCAGCATCAAAAAAGTTCATTTTGTATCTTGGATCCAAATAAGTTGACATATCTTATCCGCTTTCTTATTAATTTCAGTTTTCTTCAAATATCGCAATGACCATAATGGCCGGATAGATATGCCGGATAACCGGATATCCGGCTGAAGGGGATGCCGAATATCAGGCTTTTCGCAAAATCACTATCCGTTCCATCATTAGTGAGGACCAATGATGTATTATCAAACATACACAGGTGTAACATAAATAAATGTAGTAAATTTAAAGACATATGTGAATTAGTATTGTTAATTCTTGTTTTTTTTTATTGATCTTATCTACAATAACATTAGGTAGGGCCAACTCATGTCACCTCTTTTACTACTTTGAATGAGTGCATTTATTTTTGATACAACCTGTATAACATTTCTGACATACAAGCTCACTTTTTGACCTCGACTAAATGCAAAGTCTCTCACATCGCTTTTCTTGAGAGAAGCGACGAGAGCGACGATGCCAGACCGTTGAGGAAGCTAAATGCACACCAAACTCCAAACCTCTTAAAACATGACGTCGCCACACAGAGTTTTGGCGGGATAAAACAGTGGGGGACACTGGGGGCAGTCTTTTCTGGTTATTCTGTGGTTCTGCTACCAAGTAGAACTCTGAACAGAGTGCCAAAAATAAAGTAAATACCGCATATGTAATTTCTGTACCAGTTATCGACCGCCTATACTTTTGGCATTAATAAGTGATAGAAATTATTAATTTGAGATAGTCGAAATGGATTGAAAACCAAAAAGATCATCAGACAGTGGACAGTTCAGCAACACATATTTAGCATTTCATTCGTTTTGAAATATCAGACAATGTAAAACCTAAGTATTCATACGATAATTTAACATACTTACTTTTCGTCATTCATTTAAATTAATGTAACAATAATATTAATATAATGTACATAAACATAATATTTATATCCACAGTCTATTAGTAGCTTTACTTCGATGTATTTAATCTTTTTTTGATAACTTAAATTGAGGTTATCAAAGTTATAATTTTTTGACGTTTAAAATCTCTATTTTCTTCTCTCTACTTCATCAACCTATTTCTTCTAAAATTAAACATATTTTCTTCTTTTCTTTTATAGAAGCAATAGTAAAAATAATTGGTTTAAGATATCATTACTTTACGGTTCCTTGGAACGTGTTCGATTTCCTTTTAGTCCTAGCATCGATCCTAGGTATCCTGATGGAAGACATAATGATCGACTTCCCAGTTTCTCCAACGCTTCTTCGCGTGGTCCGCGTCTTCCGTATCGGTCGCATTTTGCGTCTCATTAAGGTACCATATCGTAGCTTAGTCATTATCAAGCAGAAAGATCATGCTTACTTCTTTCAGGCGGCGAAAGGTATCCGAAAACTACTCTTCGCGCTTGTCGTGTCTCTTCCGGCTTTATTCAATATAGGCGCCTTACTCGCTCTTATCACTTTCATCTACGCGATCATCGGCATGTTTCTATTTGGACACGTACGCCAACAAGGAGCCCTAGATGATATGGTTAACTTCCAAACGTTCGCACGATCTATGCATTTATTATTTCGATTGATTACCTCGGCTGGATGGAACGATGTCTTGGAAAGTTTGATGGTGGAACCACCCGATTGTGATCGACATTATCGAGGACAAAGTAATGGTGATTGCGGTTATCCCCTTCTGGCGATTATTTATTTCACCAGTTTTATTATTATCAATTATATGATTGTTATTAATATGTATATTGCGATTATTTTGGAAAATTTTAACCAAGCGCATCAAGAAGAAGAAATTGGAATTGTTGAAGACGATTTAGAAATGTTTTATATTAGATGGTCAAAGTAAGAATTTTAATTAATTAAATACAAATTTTGTTTTAATATTTTTTTAGATACGATCCTCACGCAACCCAATTCATCCGATTCTCGCAATTATCCGATTTCATAGCATCTTTAGATCCACCTTTAGGTATTTCAAAGCCAAATACGGTTGCGTTGGTCAGTTTTAATTTGCCGATTGCAAAAGGAAATCGGATACATTGTTTAGATATTTTACACGCTTTGGTTAAACATGTTTTGGGGCATGTTGAGGAAACGGATACTTTTAGACAGGTATGTATCAATTATTGTTGTTTTCTTAATGTCTTTGTACCATAAAATTTTAAGCTTCAAGAACAAATGGATATAAAATTCAAAAAGCAGTTTCCAACAAGAAAGGAACTCGAAATTGTTTCGTCAACGCGAATATGGAAACGACAAGACAAAGCGGCGAGATTAATTCAAAGGACATACAGGAATTATGTAAAGTAAGTAATTAAAAAAAAAGACAGTAAATTGGTAAAATGTAAGTTAGGTTGAGTAAGATCGAGCGCAAAAAAATTACATTTAGTGCACCCGAGAAAAATGAAGAGAATTATTTATTCTCTTTCGTTTTGTGAAGACGCCCTCTAAAAATGACCTTTCACTTTTTCTGAGCCAATCATCTACGGACACTTTAGGTAGGATTAACAAAACCAGCTAAAGTTAAACGTAGATAAGCTCCTTCTCAATTTTTTATGGCTGCGAACGCAACAACAGCACCGCAATGAAACAATTTCTCATTTCAACTATTATTATCTATGATTTTTGGGCAGAGCAAGCAGCTGAATGCTTCTTCAAGCAGTTGTAGACATTATAATATCAGTTAAACGCTAATTAATTAATTAATTTCGAATGGATGTTTGCAATTTAATTATTAAAAGTGATTTTTTAATTTACTATTGAGAGTTAAAATGATTTGAATCGCAAATATCCATCAAAGTTAATCAACAATTTAAATTTTAACCATTACTTACCATTTACCACACTCACCATTATGTCATAATTAAGACTCAATTTTTACACTTGTTAAATTCCCTCACAACCGTTTCTACTGGTTAGATATTAAATAGTAAACGATAAATAATGTAACACACAACAAAAATTGAAGAATTGAAAATAAAATTTTAATTGGATTTTCTTTATAGGCGTAAACGTGAGAAAGAACGCGAAGCCCTAGAGTTAGAAGATGGTCAAACTCAAACTTCTTCGCCGGGAGATTGGAAGGGAAGGCTGTCGGCCTTCCTGCACGTGCATCGAGGGAGTCGTGCCTCATCTCGAAAGTCCTCCAGGGCCTCGGACGCGTCGGACTTAAGCGAATTGGGCGGCCCATGGCTGAACCTCCCGCTGCTGCTTCTGTCCAGCGCGACCAACATGGACCCTGAGGATTTGGACGCGAGGCGCGAGTCCGCCGATGGCGGCTGCGTTAGCGTCAAAGTTAGCGCTGCGACTCCGGACGCCCCAACAACGCCAATTTTACATTCGGCGGCAGCCGCCACCAACACCATCCGCAGGAAGAGCCTCTACAACTTTCCCTTCTTTCTCAGACACCAGGACGCCGTCGTCGACGACAACGAACCGTCACCGCCGGCGCCCAAAAAACTCATCCCCATATCGGCACCCACTCTTCATCCATCGATGGCGGAAGATTCCAAAAAGATTCGAGGGAGCATTATCCGCAGGAAGAGGAGTTCGTTCAAAACGAAATCTTTAAGAAGACCGGAATCAGAACCTACTCAACCGGATGTGAGTATTTTAGTGACGGAGGCGTCACCGGAATCACCGAATCCCAAACCGCCGCTCCTTAGACAGCAAAGTGAGACGGTTGTTCACGTGCTAGTGCATAGAGAGAGTGAAGAATATCGTGAAGAAGAGGAGCAGGCGGCGGCAGCTGCGGCGGCGGCTAAACTAAGAAAGACTCCAAGCGAGTCCCACTTAGACGTTTTAGTCGCCAAAGAGGAACAAAATAGCTGATTAGAAGTCGTCGAATAGTGACTTACGGTCACTGTTAGAGAAAAGTGTAGGAGAGTGTTAAATTTGATTTTTTCATTTTGGATTTTTCTCGTTCTCGTCGATTTCTTGTATAGGTTTAAGAGAAATGGTAAAGTGAATACATTCTAATTGAGGTTTTGAATATGGTTATTAGGCTCGATTTTATAATTATTACATTAAAAAGTCATTGATAAATTTATAATTTAAACATAAATTTCCTCAAAAGAAATTTAAAATTTCTTCAAATTTTAGAATACTTTGAGTTACTCATTATTCGTAAAATTATAGTAGAATGTCAAAAATCCAATCCATCCACTTAATTATTTCAAAAAATCATTAATTTTTGTGTGCGTGAACATTGAACTATCTGCGTTTTGTATTTAGACATTGTTGTCTCCAACCACGTGAATACTTCAGCATGTGAAGAGGAACTGTCATAACAATTGTCATGTCCAAGATCCTCTTTACTTTGTTAAAACTTGTATACAGCTCGCTGCTTGCAAAGCCACAACTCTGTTCTGCTACTGAAGAAGTAACTGCACTCGTAGGCATAAATTGGAAAAGCTATCTAACCTGCAATAGCTTCCAACAGAAGACCAACGCACTATAAATGTGAAAACAAGAAATGAGGTTAACTTAAAAATCAAGACCATTAAAAGAGTTGACTAGATTAAATTTACCAATAACGTAGACCACAACATATATTCGTTTTCTTCTCGCTTAGTCTTCTCTTCTATCCTTATAGCATTTTGTATGCAATTAAGAGTTTCTGTCAATTTTACGATGGTTAGGGCTTTTTCCGATTGTGCTAGTCCAACATCATCTTCTTCAGCATCATTTTGTTACTGCATTTTAATAAACTCAGCCAAATCAAGCTCCTTATCATGTAACTCCAAGAGGGTAATCTTCATTATCAACATCCAAATCGACTTGCCTTCCTAAAGTAACATCATTTGCTACTATTGCGGTTATAAGACGTTTTTTTGCTGCCATATCAAGTGAATCGCTAAAGAAGTCAAAAGAATTTTACAAATTCGTTTATATCTGCTTCGTTCATATGAAGAAGGCCTTCGAGAAGGAAGAACTGCGAATTTTCAACGTTTATTTATTCATATTTTGATGCCACTTTACAATTTTTGCAACGCGAAGTGTTTTGCAGTGACCACGATTGCAAACGTTCTGCTTATCAGAAATAAAAAAACCGGACGGCAATGTAATCTGTAAAGTATGATCTAGTTTTTGAATCACGAGATAAGTCAGAAACGATAAAATCAGTATGATATGGTACGTAGACGTCATGGCAGATACGGAAGATGATCAGCAAACACAGCTCCTTAAACACTATAAACTAAGCCAATAACTAAACATGATTATCCATCGACAAAACAAAAGTCATGACAACCGCCAAAGATCCAATTGTTACACTTGGGGTAGAAGACAAACCCATCGAACAAGTAAGTCAGTTCTAACATCTTGGACTGGATAAGAAATACATATATTAGAGAACAATGTGGTATACTATATGTGGTGAGATGGGGGAAATAAAGAATAAGAGGATAACGTTTATCTGAAAAGGATGAATGAAAGCAGGTTAGAATAAGTAATATATAAGTATGTAGTACTAGGCAAAATCAGTACGTGCTCGAATACCAGAAGATCACCGACAAGATAAAAGGACAGCTGGAAGTTAATATCACAATTTAGAATCCAGGCACTTTTCTGTGCTCTATAAGTCACTGGCATATGTTTTAAAATGCCTTATAGTGAGTTTACACATGCATGGATTTAGTGGCGCCAATAAAAACTGGCGCGCCAGTAAAATTAAATTGCATGTGTACACATCAACTGGCATGCAAGTTGAAACCATGCATGCATGGATCGGAAAAGTCTGCACCCTTCTGAAATTACTGGCGCCAGTGATGAGTCTAAAACATGTAACCATGGCAACATAGGTGAGTGTCCACAAAAATACAAAATTTTTGATGTCAAATTTAGGTTATGTTTCCTTGCATTCAAATTAAATCCCAATTACGTTAACACATTCAACGATAACGTATAATTATCCACCTTAAACCTAGAATATATCTATTTTCCTTTCGGTTTAGGTTCTAATTTGTGTATATAGTTGTAGTACACTTTAAAAATGAAACTGGCGTGTCACTCATTTTTTACATGTGCCTCCCCAGTGGCATATGTAATGTAAACCTTTACTGGCGTGCAAGTAGAACTGGCGCAACTACTGGCGCCACTAAAGCCATGCATGTCTAAACTCACCTTTAGTTTCATACTTTATCCAGTAACTAAAGGTAATACTTGGTCACCACTAGCGTTTGCACAAACTATTGCTATAATTTGTTTCTTAGTTACTTTAAAACAAGGAGTAGCTTTTTCTCGGCGGCAAGCTAAGGACTTTTGAACCAAAGCATTCCAACTTATCCCAATTGAGAGATACCAGCAAAGCCACTATTTCATGCAAAATTCAAAACTTGCTCTTGAAAGATTCTGCGGCTATACTGTCCGAAGATAAACCCTCCCAGTGAATAGTCAATTCTCTTATTCCATGTCTTGAGATGAAATTTTCATCTGAGCCTGGCTCTAAAGTCAGCAGGACAGACTAATTATTCGTTAAGGGTGTGTCCAAACATTGCGTTGTGTTTGGCTGTCCTCGCGCGCGGCTTGCCGCGCAATCATTCTTTGGCATGTCCAAACTTGCGCATGGCAGAATTGTGTCCTGTGAATGTCGAGTGTTGCTGCCGTGTATTTAAAGAAAGGGGCTTGTTCAGGTATATTTCCTAAACTACATTTCTAGGTAAGCCACAAATTCATTGAACATTCTAAATATCATAATGATATTCAAACGCCCGATGTCGTCTGGTCTTGAATGTGAACTTTTTGACGTTCTACTGTATTAAGCAAAGTATTACTATAATAAATTAAAATAATCAAACTTCACCTTTAGAAAAAGTAAAAATATAAAATTTAAGAAATTATGAAATTGAGCCTTTAGTTAGATAATAATGCTTTAATACTAAAACAAAACCATTATTATTTAACAAATGACCTTCTCAAAAAAAATGAAGAATTTAAATATAAAAAATTATTGTAAATAAGATTTAAAAAAATCGATTAGATTAATCATGTATTTGTAATTTTTTTGTAAATAAATCGCATATTAATTGTATAAAATATTGTTAAAGAATATTGTTATAAGATGTAACTCATATTTAAAAGAGATGATTTCAAAAAAACAAAAAAAAAACAGGAGATATGATGTCAATTATATCATAAAAATGGTAAAAAACATAAAAAATACCGCTGTACAATCATTTTTAAAAAGAAACTTAGAGATTCCGTATACTGTAGTCGCTTGTAAAATAAGAAAATTAACGATTTTAAAAAGCAACAAAACAATAATTAGAAAAGAAATTTAGAAGAAATTGTTAATTAGTGAATGTTTTATTTATAACTCGATTTGTTTTTAAATTTTATATTAGTTGAATTATTTTTATTTTTGAATTTTAATGAAATTAAAAAAACAAACAACCCAAAGTGTCAATTATTGCGGAATTCGGTAGTCGCTTTTAGTTTTTTGAATCTATAACAATTTTTGAGATCTTCCTCCTATTACACGTTCAAAAAAAATTAACTAAACAAAACTATATTAACTAAACAAAATATTAACAAAAAAAATCTCAGCGCACATCTCTCAGCTAATTTATACGAATTGAAAGAAATATTAAGAAACAAAAAAGATTTTTAGGTATAAAATTAGGTCACGAGGGGCCACACACCACTTTTAAACTTTTAAATCAAGTAATAAGTAAATTTTTAGTGACTAGAGACTAAAATAGAAACTTCTTCCCCCTTGGTAATGATTTTTTGTAGATACGCTTGTAAATATTTATATTTAAGAAAAAAATTCCCTTCCTAATATAATAATATGCGAATAGAAAAAAGAAAACGAAAAGATAACCTAAAAAAGTTTTGTGATATTCTCTTTATCTATCTCACGATAGATATTTAATTTAAGATTTTGATTTACACTGATTTTTGTGATTTATTTAGTTCTAAAAGCATATCAAAATGTAATTAATTAAAATGTGTAAATCAAATTTTTAAAATTCGACAAAATATCAAATAATAATAATAAAATCCTCATCTATTTGATATAGATTAAGAAATAATATAGATTTTTTTTTAGATTTAAAGTTATTAAGAAATACTTTTGTATTAAAATATTTCTTATTAACTAAAAAAAACAATAAAATATGTAAATATTAAAAGCCAAATTTTCGGTAAATATCTTAAATTGTTATTTAATAATAATTCTAGTTGAATTAAAATAATTATTGGTAATTAATTAAGTATTAATAATTAACCGCCTACTTTCTATAAATAAATAAAATAAATAATAAATAAATATGTAAACATTAAAAAAGCAAAAAAAAATCCGTTATTTGTAAATAGTGTTATTATAATAGTATTTTATTATTAATTAGTACCTAGAATGCCTTCGAATATTTTAAATGGAAATAAATAATTAAAAAAAACGCAGTTGTTACGGATTCAGTATGATAATTAATAATTAATTAATGAAAAAAAAAGTAATAGCGAGTTATTAGTCATGGAATTTTAAAGAAAATTTGAGAAAAAAATAATTAAAAAAAAATTATATTAAAAAAATTTAGCAAATACAAAAATTATTACATAAAAAATATAATATAGCTTCGACAGGAAAAATAATATTTCAATAAAGTGAGACGCATATTTATTTTGTATTTCAATAAAAATTAAAAATAAAAATGTTACAAAATTTTTCCGGTCCTTTTTCTAATTTTTTAACTTCCACGGTTAATTATTCTTTACATCCACACGGAAAAGATGGCCCTGGTGTGTGTTCCAGACAGGACGTCGCGCCTTTTTTTGTTTATTGAAGTACAATAAAGGCGCGACGTCCTGTCTGGAACACACATCAGCTTATTTCTGTTTCTTTTTCAATTAATACGCCATTAAATAGTAGCAGGGTTCTTAGATTATATTTAAACAGTTCAAAAATGCAAGAGTTTAAAATTACAAAACTATACAAGTGTTTCACTTAAAACTCCCATGCCAAGTATCTCTGGAATAGGTTGATATATCTTAGTTTTATTATTTATATGGCAAAAATGTACTTAAAAACCAATTATGAATAGAATGCAAAGAATATAACTAACGTGTTTAAAATTTTAAAAAAGCATACAATTTAATGGATTAAAAAAAACCTGTAAATTTTTTTATTAAAATTCCAAATATTTATTATGAACAGCACAAATAATTATTCGTTTTGTACCAATAAATAATTAGATATTCATTTTAAATAGAACACAATCAATTACAATATTTCTAAAAATCGAACACAATCAGTCTTCTTTAAAAAATCCACTTGTTTATAAAACTCTCGAACAACATCATCTTGTTCTACTTCATCGCAAGAGTCTGTTGGAATAGTAGGAACGATGCAAACAGGAACATCATAATTTTTACATTCTTCAGAAGGAACGATTCTTCCCTCATTATCGCCAAGATATTTAATAATTTTTCTATAACAACTACATTCCCAAGGATTTCCATCCAAATTAATCGTTTTTACACTAATTTTTTGCAACAACGTTTCAGGTAAATACGAAAATCGGTTTGAATTTATACATAACGTATCGACGTATTGAAATTTCGAATGAAAAGCATTCTCGTTAATTCTCTTCAATAAGTTATGTTTTAATCCCAAATATTTTAAATTCGGCAATCCGTCGAAAGCGATTCTTTGTATTTCAGAAATATCGTTATAATCTAAATAAATATATTTAACTTTTCGTGCGTGAATAAAGATTTTTGTTGGTATTGTTCTTATTTTGTTATAACTAAAATCAACTGTTGTTAAATTTGGAAGATTATAAAACCAATTACGACTCATTGCATCTAAGTCGTTATGAGATAAATTTAACGATTGTAAATTTTCCATCGATGAAAAAGCGTTTGTTTCGATTAGATTAATTTTATTGTTATGCAAAGAAATTTCTTTAAATGTAAATCCATCGAAGACTCCACTTGGAATTTCCGTCAATTTATTTTCATAAAATTTGACCTTTTCGATCCTTGGAACGTTGCGAAACATCGCCGGGTAAATACGCGATAATCCAGAATTTTTTATAGTAAACACTTTCAATTTGGACATATTTCTAACCGAATCTTTTTTTAAAGCAGGAACATTTTGATTCGTTATGTGAATTTGAGAGATTTTTCTTGGTATATCATCTTGATAAAACGCAATTCGTTCAATACATCCACTTAGAATTAATTTGTAAAATGATTTATCTTCTAAAATCGTATTCATTTCGGTATTGTTAAACGTAGAACAACACAACACATAGTTTATTGTTATTGCAACACTTAAAAATGTTAAAACTGTTTTTATTTTAAACATTTTCCTAAACGTAGTTTCTTAAATAAGTATGAACCGATACGGTGTTAGGTTAAGTTGTCATTGAACTGGGGAAATACTGCAAGAATCAGAATTGTCTTGTCTTCGTTTAAAGATAAAGATAGTGATCGAAGGTCAATACATCATTAATTAAAATTCACAATACAGTGCGGTTCAAAATTTTTTTAAAAGGTTTTTGGATTCGTTCAAAGACGATTGGCTCAAAATTTGATAACAATATTTGTAAGAGATCGAAAAAACTTAGTAAATCTTGAATTTGTTGTATACAGCATTATTATTATTGCTGCCGAGCTGAGGGGAGCGGCCCCTCTCGTTACCGCGACCTATAACATCTATTGTAACTTTAGCACTCCAAAGGTTTAGGGTAAATGTAGGTCCTTGATGAACCTTAGTATTGCCCTGAGGTCTTGAACCTTTATGTCGGTTTTAGACGAAAATTTTGTGTCTTAGACGGCTATTTCTGACTCGTCGTTGCAAAGTCGGCAAGTTTGATCTTCAGCTTGTCCAATGTGGAAGAGGTTATTTGTTTTAGGTGGCTTTTTTGTAGTCCACAGCCAGGTTGTCATTGCCCTCAACTTCTGTTTGGATAATTGTTATGTCCGAGCTGAGGGGCAGTTTAATGGCTGTTTGGTCCACTGATTCCCATACCTACTCCGGATCTAACTGTCTTTGAAGCATCAGTGTACCAGGCTAGGGCTCCTCTTTTTAGTTGAGGCTCTCCCTTCGCCCAATCATCCCTGCTTCTAAATATGACCTTATACGGCTGGTTGAAATTGTATTCTGTCGGTATAAGGTCAGTTTTAATTTCAATCAGGTGATTTAGACATGGGTCCTTGAGGATCTCGATGTGTCCTCTGAGCTTGCTCTGCATCAACTTGAATGAAGAAACTATTTTCAGTGATAAGGCACTTGAAGCTGCCTCCTTTTGTGTATATAAACGGAGCGGTGTGAGACCGAGTAGGGCATCCAAAACACCCTAGTCGGACAGGATCTCATTGCATCCGTTATGTTAAGACATGCTAACCGCTGGATTTGTGCCAGCTGTTGCTGTACTGTCTTATGTTTTGTTTTTGGCCACCAAACCAATGAGGCCTAGGCGACCATGGGTCTGATTATTGCTACGTAGGCCCAATGCCTGCGCCAGATCTTGTTTGCCATGATGGCATCTTTCCTCACCTTTGTATACAGCATACAACAAGAAGTGAAAATTACACTTGAAATGTTTCTAATTAAATTTTCTAATTTATACAGAATGTAGGTATTGATCATGCAAATTTCCATAAGCTGAAAAGAAGAGCTTACACAGCCATATTAGTCTGCCTGAAGAATATATTTTATATAACTCAATGTAATATTTGGTATCTTGCTCATTATTTCTACACAACCTCATACAAGTCTCCGAGGACTTTTTTTATTTCACTTGGCAATTCTTTCCTATTCGTTAGCTTGAGCGTTCCTGTAACATGGCTAGTTCTTGAATCAAGACATAAATAATGAATTAGGAATTTTCTGCAATAACATTTTACATATGTGTATAGGACATTCAGTTGTAAACTCAGTTGCAATTGATCCATAGTATGGTAATTTACAATAAATATAGTTAGTATTTGAGTCAGGCTAGAGTATAACTTCTGATAAGCCCTTTTGTTGGTCTTTTTGGTTTATATTTATATTTGCTCGTCCAGTATAAAATAATCCAAGAATTTTGAATTAATATAGTCTAAAAAGCAACATACTTATTAATATTCAATTAAAGAAAACGACTTTTAGTTCTTGTCAAAAATTATATCCGACTTCCTTTTACACAATCACTTTTTTTAAGTCATCATAAATAATTCTTAGTTACTCAAAACTCTTGTAAATGTTTCTGGCTAGAATGGAATAAAACGGTTTTCCAATCAGAACTTATAATCATTTGGATGAACTTTTTATTTGATAATGTAACATGATGATTAAAATAAAACAAAAATAATTTAACAATGTACTTGAATATATATTTCACTTGAATGTATCATACATTTAACGCATACGTCAAGACATCATTCGTTAGCATACAACTAACTAAAAAACCCTAATCATATAATCAACCAGTTCACAAACAATCATTTTTTTCTTCAAATTTTTTTTCATCATCATTACATTTTTCACATTCTCTTTTTTTCACTTTGTTTGCTTACTTTTAATTTTTTTTTTAATTAATTTTTTTCCCTATGTTTTTTTCTCGAGTTATTTAATTTGTACTTCACAGCTTGCAACAGTTCCCCTTTTTATCTTCTTGCTTAAATCAGTACGTTTCGATCTCTATACATTATTATAGACTTACGGTTCAGACTTTTCCGTTCCATTAATATTTTTTTTAGACAACATAAAAAATCAAATTAAACTTTAGATTACCAAAAAAATTTGATCCTATCAATAAAATATTTATTAAATGCAAAAAAGATTTTTTGCTTTTTAGATATGTTTTCTTTTTCTCTACGTTACACAATATTTTATAAACATTTCTTTCTCTTCAAATCTGAGTACATTTTATAAACAAAATAACGAATAACTTAAGGGGATTATTTTTTTTTAATTTCCTCCTTTTAAAAAAAGAAGAAAATTGTTAGCACATAGATTAAAAAAAAAACTTAAGTGTTAAAAATTAATAATAATTAATAAACTTACTTTAACAGATACAAATTTGATTCGTATTTTCGTTTATTATTATTTTTTTTTTGTTTGTAAATTCTTTTGTGATGATTACAAATTACAAAATAATAATAAGATAATAATTAAAAAATATAAAGCGAGATCAAGTTAAAACAGAATCGATAAGAAGATGCCTTTGATTACACACAACAAATTATTATCAGATACAAATTATTTTTTTGATTTTTTTAAATTTTATAAAACGACTACTAAAATTGGAAATAATAGCTTAAAAATTTCATAGTAAAATAACAAACAATATAGCGCTTCAAGCAGTACGTGATGATTTATAAAAAAGAAGTTTTAAATAAAAAAAATAAACACCGCATTAAAATTTAATTTTAAAAACGTATTTTGATGTACGTAAAGATTTTTTTCCTCAAACATCTACGGTTTTTTTAGCTGTGATTTAAATTTACTGTTTTTTTCTTCTTCATTAACAAGCTAGGCACGGGTATTAGGCAGGGATCTTATTTATACATGTACATATATTTATAAAAAATTATTAATTTTTTTTGTTTATGAGATGAATTTATTTATTAAGTAGCTGATTTTTTTACTTTTCTTTTTAAATTACAAATAAATTCACCTCTTACTTATTTTTTTTTTCATTTTTATTTACATAACCCTAAACATTCAGTGCTTAGACCACTTTTAAGTTATTTCTTAAAACCATTTTTTTATTATCAATCAAAAAAATGAAATGTGTTCTCAAAGTGGTCCTAAAATTGGTTATTTACTTACTAAAAGTTGTTAGAACTGGATTAAAACAGAAATAAATGTTGGGTAAAGAGGGTTTTGGATAACTTACTTTAATATATTTATTTTAATAGACATTTATTTAAAAAAAAATATATACACCTGACGATCGAAAGCGGTGTTTGTTGTTTTTTATTAATAATAAATATATTGGAGTAACTTTTTTAATTGAAAGACTTATTGAAAAAAAAATATATCCAGATCTAACAACAACACAGCACATAGAATCAGCAAGACTAAAAATAAAAAATATATACAGCGCCGAAAATAATCAAAAAAATGTGGGATTTAAATGGAAAAAAAGATTATTTTTTAATTATTAAATGAAAAGAAATATTGATAAACACAATAAAGTATCTATTATATCGTAGTAATTGTTGATTTCATTTTTAATTTTAGAAATTCTATCAAAAAACGTTTTTTCTCTTTTTTAGTGCCATATAAATATTATCAAATTTTGATTTATCACAGATATTCACTAACTACGAAAAAATTTTGCTTGAAAATAATAAATTAAAATTTTAAAAAAGAAATTTGATTTTAAAATAGTTAAAAATTTTAAATTTTTCTTCCTAAAACGTTTATATTGAAATTTCACTTTTTTTAAACTCAAATATCACCGATGAATAGATATATAACACTTAAAGGCTAAAGATTAATAATAACTAATAATAATAAAAATTAAGTGGAAGAGTTTTTTTTTTGAAAATTCCGCGAAATAAAAATGATAAAAGTTATACACATATATAAAATAGATTTTTTTTTCTAACAGAAATAACAAATAATAACAATAATTATTCTTTTCTTTCAATTCTATTCTTTTTTTTTTTCGCGCTAAAATTTTATATTATAAAAAAGAGTGTTGAAAAAAAAAAAAATTATATAAAAAAAAAAATGAATTAAAAAGTTCAATATCGTAAAGAAGTGATGTAGTTCTCATTCAGCTGCTTCAATTTCAATTTGAAATACTAAATCATTACAAAAATTTACAAAAAAACGACTTAACTCACTTTTCCATGATATTGCCCACACTTTCTCACTTTATCTCTGCATTTTTTAACTCTTATTACAATCATCAAAGATTTTTTTCCTTATTTATCTCACTAGGTTCTTAATTTTGAAAAGAAAAGCACAGCCCGCAATTTTTTAACAAACCAAGTTATTAAATATTACTTTTTTTTATAATATACATTATTTATTAATTTAAAGATGGGAAATTTTTTAATTTATAGTAAAACCTTCAATCTTTAGTGTTTTAATGATAAATCTCAAATTAGTTTAGTAAATATTTTTTGATCAACATCAAAGTATCAAATTTGATATTATTTTTTAGTAACTGACTTTTATAGGAAACATATTTTATAGGAATTATCCATTTGTAATATAATGTACCAAACAAATAATAAAATTGTTATAGTTTTCGTCGATAAATGCCAGTTTTATTTCAATCTTGAGTCAGTTAAGACCATATCGTTATGAATGGTGTAATTGCAATCAGTAAGGTCATTTTGCGTTGGATTTGACAATTTCCATATAAGGAAACTAAACAGTTCTTTGCTGTACCAGAAGCCACTTCCAGTACTGCGATTTCCAGTACATTCTTTGTATGTATAAATGCCCATAAAATATGGGCATTCTATTTAAAAGAAGTTTGTATGAAAATGATTCAAGATGTATTCAAGTAAAGTAGTATTTCGGGTTGGCTGGTTGCACTCAAAAGACTAATACATATCTATAGTTTTGGTGTAATAGCCATGAAGTTAACCAACGCAGTTAATTCCTTTTTTAAGTTATCGTGTTTACACATACAAGCAGATATAAGAACAAAAATATTCAAAATGTTTCATAAAAATCGATTTTTTTATATGATTACAATACTTCTTATTTTACACATATACTTTGTATGTGCGAATATGTATATACAGTCGACTCTGGTTATAAAATACCCTCACGGGATCTAAAAATGCGTAGGTTGTGTCAGGAAGTACGTTATAATAAAATATCATGTTTAAGAAGGTATGGTTAATCAATCAAACCAATAAATTCGTGTTCAAAAATCAAATTCAAAATGTATATAACTAAGGTCTGAAGCAATTTCTAATTATTTCTTGACCAATTGTATTCCAAACTTGCGCCAACAAACACAATACAAAATTTTCCCCATCATCCGACTCTTTAATCAATTTTTTTAATAGATTTTACCGTAGCCAGCAGCATGGTTATCCACTAAAAGTAAGAGTTTTATATGCTTATGACGTTCGAATCTTCTTATACTATAAGCAAGGGGACCGAAAAAGAACATACTTTATATCCAATTGAACGTTATAACCCGGGTTCGTAATAAACAGACTCATAATAATTTAAAAAAAAACTAAATAAATTTTAATCGCCAAATTAATTTAATAACAAATTCGTAATTATAGCTCCGTATTACAATTTAACAAATACAGCTATTTTACCCACCCATCATTAATCCCAAATAAAGGTAACTAACAATAACGATATATGATATCACTTGGAGTCATTGGAATTTTTGAAGCTATAAAAAATTAAATTTTATTAATAGCTAATTGTTCTCTATTAATCCCGCTTAGTTTAACTGAAAAGAAAACAAAGAAATCAGGTTTCAATTAATTTTTTTAATTAATAACTTACTTATAGTTAATTTAAACTAATTGTGACATAAAAGTTTACAAAACTAGATAAACTTGGTACTCCGTTAAAGTATTTTAGAAAGTTTTTGAAGACGGTTTTATAAACAATTTACTTGTTCACATTATGGTCAATATTATCGCATCTATTTTGACAAACAACAAGACTACGACTGTATACGACGGTATAACAAGAAACCTCTTTGAGGGAAGTTGCGAAACCGAGGTCATTTATAGATTTTTTAAAAGTGGTATTTAGGACACCAAAATTCAATCATGCACATGATGAGAATGCAGTGTGGAGATACGATCAGAACAAAAAGATGAATGAAGTGAATAGAATAAAAAAGACTCCTCAGCTAAATAGAATAAAAATTGATAATTTAAACATAAGTGGAATAAACAAATATGTGGTTTTATATTGGACCAGATTGGATTTTATAAAGAATTTTTATTATCAATTTCTACCTTTGTAAATAGATCACGGGTTGAAACAGTATTTAAGTCGTCCTTTATCTCTGGAAAATTTATCAGTTGCTTTGATCGAACTGAAAATGAATTTTTCAAATCGAACCAAAACAGAGTTTTTGCCAGTCGAGCATATAGACAAAGAATAAGCTTCAAACTATATCATCTAAGATTATAAATTACGAAATGATGTTCTTAAAGTATAATTTTTGATGCGAAATAAAAAATATTTGAATTCGATCGTATATTTTATTCTCATTGATGTCACATCGCATCGCAGTAAAGTTATTAAATTTATTATTAAATTTGAAAAGATAAAAAAGTTCAAGTATATTGATTTTAATAGATTGAAAAAATCAAAAAATGTATTGATATTAAAACTTAATATTTAGTTTAACCCTTAACTCAAGAACGATTTTTATACAGGAAGTAGATAAAAAAATAGTTTCGTATGGATACAACTTCGAACCAGACGAATTTTGAACAACAACGCTACAATTAAACAAGTCGGTTTGATGAACAACTTTCAAGAGTCAATTTTTTTTAAAACTTTCAGCTATCCAGTAGCTAACTGGTTTGGTAATTTAAAATCATCATTGAAAGCATGTAACGATTTGAATCATGATCTACTATAAGCTACTAAAGTCATTAAACAATTTCTAATTGTGTTCTAAATTCGCGTGTTGTTTAATCGTTGTCTAAATTTTCTGTGATATGTTGCTTTATTACTAGAAATCAAAGAATGATGAACGTAAACAATGACAGAATATAACAACCATCATGAACGATTAACTTTAGCTGTATTTCTCCTTATTCTATTGGCTACATATTTTAAATTTCAAAAACTATAAAGAGATTTCCTAAACCGGTTACTTGTAAATATTAAATTAATAAAAATCATTCAAAAAAATAGCTAATAATAGCATTTTTCCAAACAAATTGAAAATATTTCGTTAGAAATTAAAAAGATAGTAGTGCTTCTTGTAGCGAAAACCCAAATTATGCATCTAACTTTTTATCTTTAAAGATGCTATATTTTGCATAGCAATTATGCATTGTTACATTAAAGCCTCTAAATAGATTAAATACCACAATCGCCCACTATTTTCTATAAAAATTAGCATTTTTAAATACATACTAAAAACATTAGCAAAATTTAACGGTACTATTTAACGGTTTAACGATACTTAATCTATTTAAAGAGTTTATTACGTTAAAGACAAAGTTTTAAAACGATCTGCTTTTTAAATGGATCAGTTTGGTATTGACTTTAATGCCCCATGTTATACCTTTTGGCAGCTGCATCAGCACATTCGTCTATAAAATAGTTTAGCTTTATTGCCTTGATACATATAACTGTTATTTTATTACTTTTCTCCTTAGAAAATTTATAGGAACTTCCATTCCTATTTAATTTTTTATCATAACAAGGTTTCTAAAAAATGTTTCCCATAAAATTCAAAACTTTCCCAAAAATACTACTTTTATGGCGACTTTTGATTAATTTATTGCAGTCGTTGTAGACTTGCATCGATTGTTGTGGTTTTACTATAAATCGAATATTATTTTTTAGTAACAATTTTTAAATGAAAAAGATCAATTTTTTCCCTGCAAAAAAGTTGAAACTTTCTCAACTTAAATTGAAAAAATTGTTGAACCTTAATTTTAGAAATTTGCCCAACTCATATTTTACAAAATCATTAAAATTTTTCAAACACAAATTAATAAGAAAGTAAAAATTAATAAAACTTCCCATCTTAAAACAAAAAGAAGAAAAATTACAACCCTCATCATGATTTTTAAGTCTATCACGTTTTTTACCATCATTATCCTTATCAATTAGTCAAAACAAAAAAGAACTTTTTTTCATTATCCATCAGTAACACCTTTAAAATAATCACCATCGATACCCTCAAAGTCTTCCTCGTTTTGTTTAACCGTAAAACCGGTTACCGTTCCATCCAATTGCACAAAAAAACCGTCCTCTTTATTGTCGATCGCATCTAATCCTTGCAATCCATGACCAATTTCCAACCCCTCCATATCTATTAAAGGCAACCCAGCAATATCCTCATCCGGTTTTTTATCTTTAATCGGTTGCCCGTTTAATAAATAATCCTTAGTTTTTCCACCATATTGAAACGTTTCATTTGTCATCGGTGTCGATGGATACGATCTCGATGAATACGAATTTACTTCCGCATTTGTTATTATATGTTCTGGTTGTTGAACAGGAATTGGAGTACTTGGAACTGAACGCGACGGATTTATTTTCAAGGAATTTAAATCAATCGAATTTGTTAAAATATTATCAACAGGCCCAAAAGTATGCTCACTTGTTGATAATTCTTTTGTAAGTTGTTCTGAGGTTAATTGATCTGAAGTTAGTTGATTTGTTGTTGTTTGTAGTTGTTCGTGAAAATTATAATCATAAAACGGAATTGTATTAAAATTTTGAGCTACATTCACTGGAACAGATTGTGATCTCATTAAAATTGGATCTGTAGCTGGTGGTAAACTATCAAATAAACTACTAACTTCAGCTGATAATTGATCATTTTGAACATTTGTTGATACATTATAAGTAAATGTAGGTTGTGTGTTATGTGAAAACGCAACTTTTGGACTTGGAGGGGCTGACATTGGCATATTTATATTAACTTGAGTGACGTCGAATTCTTTAACATTTTTTCGTTTTTTGGAAAGTGAATTAGTTAAAAGATAAGGATGAGAATTACCTCTTGCTCTTGGTAAAGGTGTATTTCTTGGACTAACAAAAGGACTTGGAGTTGCACTTGAGGATTTTGGAGATTTTGATCCAGGTGATATTGGCGTAAAAGAATAATTTTTAGTACGCGTATTCGGACTTGGGGGGACCTCTTCGGGATATTGCGGATCAAAACTAACTCGACGTCGACCCAAACTCGCTTGAAAATTCGGTAAAACAACCGGAGCGTCTTGCTTTAAACTACTTTTTAAATTTGCATTATTATCTTGTACAGTTGTTGATTGCTCCAAAAGTGATCTTAATTGTGATAATTGTATAGTTTTATTTGTATCTTCGAACCTTGAATTTTCATAATAATGCATTATTTCTTCTTCCGTTTCTTGACTATTATTTTTTCCTAAATATTCATCCAACGCGTCCTTATCCAAATTTCCCACACTAATTAATCGTTGCCGTGATAACAATTCCGTCGTGTCATCTTCAAGGAAACTTGCGGTGACCGTTTCCTCCCTTTTCTTTAACTTTCTACTATTTAACTTACCTCCTAAAGTTTCTTGAGATCGGTGGTTCGCAGCAGAACCACGCGCGACGTTAACAGTGGTTGTCTGCTGCAGGTTGTACGTGCTCATATCACATTTCGGCTGGATGTGTTTGTACTTCATGTTCTTGGAACGTGGCGCCGTTGAATCGGGCGGGGATTGTAATTGTTGTTGTTTTGACGCGGTTGGAAGGCGCGGTATTGCTACTTTACCTTCAACAGCCGCCGGCGGCCTGTGAAACGAAACGGCCGCCAGGAGCGGTGGCGTCGCATCCTGTTGTTGAGTTGCGGCCGCGCCGTTCCGGAAATCTATATCACAGACTTGTTTCGGACCTTGCAATTGCGGACTTTGCAGCTTGTTTTCAGCCGATGACGACGATGACGATGGCGATGAACCTCGACTTGTTGACGTTGACGACGGCAAAACTACTTTTGGTTTTTTTGAACGCGATTTTGGTTCTTGTTTTACTTGCTGAACCTAAATCAATTAATTTAGTATGATACATAATAAATCTTTTAAAATATTTACTTGTAATTTCCGCTTTTGCTCTTTTCCCTCGCATTTCTGTTGAAGTTTTCTTATCGCTTCCTTGTGTCTGTTACTATTCACAGCATTTGTTAAATCACCTATATATAAAAATACATAAATTACTATTCTCTAAGATCTAAATTATGCACAAAAACACTTTGCGCTGAAGTGCTTTGCTCAATTTCACACTTAAACTCCCCTAGGTTATCCAACTTGAACAAATCGACATTGGCGGGGTAAGGTGGGAAACGTGACGTCATTGGAGGAAAAATATAGTATTTATTATTGTTAGGTGGTGAAGGGCCTTAAATAATTTGTACCATCGTTAATAGTCAATTTAACTTAATGTTTAACGAAGGCGTTTTAACTTTCTCAACAATTACTGTCTTAATTTACTTAAAGAAAATTCGATAAAAATAAAAATAATGTATCGTGACGCCATCTATTTTCTAAACAAACAATTATTACTACAATTATAACATTTTTATCGTAACTTTAGATATAAATATAACAATATTTATAAATTTAAACACTAAACATGTGTTATTAAACTCAAGAAATAGAGAGTTTATGTTGATTTACGTATATAAATAAAAATATAGAAATGTCAATTCCTCCAATGACGTCACAGCAAGGCCTTTGACGCCATTGACGAAAGAAATGTTCGAGTTTTTTTTGAACTTATTTGACCAAGAATAAATTAATAAATAACAATAAAAACAAATTTAATTTTAATTTGGGCGTTAATTAATTAAAAATGTGGAAGTAAATCCAACTTTTACCCTTAATTTACAGGGAAATGAATAAAAATTTAATTATAAATCATATAAAATCAATAGAACCCAAAAATTTTGCTACAAAATGTTTTACCGTTCTGCTCATTTTGAATGGCAGATATGATCACAGAGGCAGCATTCGTCCCGGCTCCAATTGAATGATTCTTGACGAGAAAGTGTGCCAAATTGAACCATGAATTAAACTTGGACCCGAGTTTTGTTTCTGACCATTCCTTAATGATACACCACACGGCCGCAAAGACATCCGAATCGTTCCATATTGTAAATTCGGTCGACTAAAACAAAAAATGGATGTCATAAAATCATTTTTTTAGAGATCAAATAATCTTATTACTTGTGGTTTTTGAGATAGATCAGGAAGACCAGGCGTTCCCAACTTAATTCTTGTCCTAAGTCCAGAATAGCAATATTGTGAGTTTCCCCTTGTTCCTAACCTTCTTGGTTTAACCCTAGGATAGACCTGTTTCATTACCTTACCAAAATCGGCTGTCGAAAGTGGTTTAATCTGATTTTCACTACAATATGATCTAAAAATTAAATAAAGCAGCATATAGTATTAAGTCTTGATGATGTAATGATTTAAATCTTACGTGTATTCATCATAAACATTTTTCTTTTGCAATGAAATATCAGGATCCTCTTCAAGATGAGTTTTAATCCACTGTATGGTAAGATTAATCTCAACACGACTTCCTAATGGATTGGTGGGCTGCTTTAATGGATCAACAAGACTTTTTTCCGTTGGTAATTTAAAATATAATAAGAGTTTCTCAACTGGAGTAAGTGTATCAACTTCTTTAAGGATACTGTTGATCTTAACTTTACTGGTTTCACTACCAAAATAATTAGATAATTAATTGATTATGTTATTGTTGTGTTATCTAAAGATAGCGAATGTGTACCTGATGGTGTCTTGTATTTCCTCGAGACGGTTCTCCGGCTCGAATGGCAAACTGTCACAGCTGCCATTGTTCAACACTGCGTCTCCCATCCCATCCATGGCTGTTCGTCCATCTCTTGCCGAAATTGGGGCCAGGAACGGGTCTCGATCGACGCTAGACAGTTCGTCTGACGCTGATCGACAAGCCGGGGGCCCTTACAATTGCCATCGCGACGAATCCCTACTGGAACGAGACCGGGACATTTTTTTTTGGTGTATTTATGACAATTCCAGTCAGCTGGTCTACTATTCCACAATCGACTGGCGCTGAACAACGCGAACTTATCTCGTTAAATGGCACATTTATTTTCAGTTTTAAAACAAAGATGGCAGCATCATGTAATACCTTACTACCAATAGATGACACTATAATTAAATTTTTTAATAAACATTTTCATATACTAAACAAATTAAAAATTAAATCAACATAAACATTATAATTTGTTAAATTAATTCATTTCTTCCAAATTATTTCAAATACTTTTCATAACCACAAACAGCTGTTTTCAACATAATAGATATAAAACACACCAAACGTCAAATTACACTAATTCCATCTCCTTCACTTCCCCATAAACCCAACCTATCCATCTCACTCATATCGTTCCATCACAATATAAGAATAGACCTTAATACTTCACCTTTGAGAATGCACCATCCTAACCTATAAATCGATCGATTTGTCATTCAACGTGTAAAGCGTGTAAAGTGCCGCATTTCTTACATCAGCATTTTGCATTTACATCTGTGTAACTAAGAAAATTTCAAAATGGTATTGGATTTAGATTTATTCCGTTCCGATAAAGGAGGAGATCCCGATAAAATTCGTACGAATCAAACGAAACGGTTTAAAGATATCGGCCTGGTAAATACGGTGGTTGAAAAAGACACCCAATGGAGACAATTAAGACATAAAGCGGATAATTGGAATAAGTTAAAAAATGTATGTAGTAAAGAAACCGGTGAAAAAATGAAAAAGAAGGAGCCTCAAGGTGATCCTAATGAAGAAGTGCCTAAAAACGTTGTTGAACAATTAGAAAGTTTAACGGGTGATCTTTTAAAACCGTTAACGGTGTCTCAAATAAAAAAGGTTAGAGGATTAATTGATGATGCTATTAGTAAAAATGAAAAGGATCTTTTGGAAGTAGAAAAAGAAAGGAATTCGGCTTTAAGGGAAGTTGGAAATCATTTACATGAATCTGTTCCTGTTAGTAATGATGAAGATGAAAATAAAGTTGAGAGGACTTTTGGTGATTGCACAATAAAGAAAAAGTATTCTCATGTTGATTTGATTTGTATGATTGATGGAATGGATGGAGAAAGGGGGGCTGTTGTTTCTGGAGGTAGAGGTTATTATTTAACTGGTCCAGCTGTCTTTTTAGAATATGCAATAATTCAATTTGCATTAAGAAAATTGCATTTAAAAAATTATAAACCACTTTACACTCCATTCTTTATGCGAAAAGAGATTATGCAAGAAGTAGCTCAACTTTCACAATTTGATGAAGAACTCTATAAAGTGATTGGGAAAGGTGAACGTGCTGAAGATAAAGAAATTGAAGAAAAATATTTAATAGCCACTTCTGAGCAACCAATTGCTGCATTCCATCGCGATGAATGGCTACCAGAAAGTTCCCTTCCAATTCGTTATGCTGGAATATCAACATGTTTCCGTCAAGAAGTTGGTAGCCATGGTAGAGATACACGTGGTATTTTCCGTGTCCATCAATTTGAAAAAGTTGAACAATTCTGTATCACATCACCTTTTAATAATAAATCTTGGGAAATGATGGATGAAATGATTCAAAACGCCGAAGATTTTTATCAAGCTTTAGGAATACCTTATCGCATAGTTAATATCGTTTCTGGCGCGTTAAATCACGCAGCTGCGAAAAAATTAGATTTAGAAGCTTGGTTTCCAGGATCAGGGGCGTTCCGAGAATTGGTTTCTTGCAGCAATTGTTTAGAATATCAATCGCGAAGGCTTTTAGTCCGGTATGGACAAACAAAAAAAATGAACGCTGCTACAGATTACGTTCATATGTTAAACGCAACAATGTGTGCGACAACGAGGGTTATTTGCGCTATATTGGAGGTACACCAAGGTGAAGATGGGGTGAAAGTACCGGATTGTTTGAAAGAATTTATGCCAGAAATGTATAGGGATGTTATTCCATTTGTTAAACCTGCTCCAATTGATCTTGAACAAGCTTCAAAAAAGAATAAGAAACAGAAGGAGGGGATGGCTAAAAAGCTGGGGGCTGGAGAAGAATAAAAATGTACTGAGTTATTGTAAAGGGATAAAAATTGTTATTTATTGGCATTTAAATTTTTTTTTGGATGAGTTAGGTTATATTACTGTAATTTGTCATTTTTGATCGAGTTGCTGCAAAATATACCTAAAAATGATGTGTTGAAAGCAAGATTTTTTTTGTTTCAAGACCTAGTTAAGGAATAAAAAAATTTCTTATACTTTTTTGTAAATTATGCTAATTAAGTATACAAAAAATACATTTGGCTTAATTAAATTAACATTATTGTTTGTTTTAATATCTCTCATTCCTTATTTTTTAGATATAATTTCGTTTTGACGCCAGTCAAATTTAGTTCTGTTAGTACCACTGTGTTTTTCCTATTAATATGACGTTTGTTTCGAAATAAGACGAAGATAATAAGCATTATATAACAACAAATGTGTAAGTAGTTATGAGAAATTGTATGTTAGAACATAATCTTCATCATCATTTCATATAAATCAGTTCGCTTATCCAATTTACAGGGTATGCCTAAAACTTCACATTCTTGAACTTGTTTTTGAAGAAAAATGTAACATGTCATCCGACACGTCAAGCAACGCTTTAATAGCAGCACAGGTGATTTAAAAGTTTCTCATTATTTTTTAATAATAAGCCGTTAAAGCCTTATACTTTACAAAGCATCTACTGTTGTCTGTAATCCATTGTATAAATAGTTAAAAAGTAGGTTGTCATATTTAGTTCTCAGCTGCATTGTTAAGTTCATAAATTTGGGATTGACTAGGCTGCCTGCCAGCCGCGAGTTGTGGAAGCCGCAACTGTCAGCCATCAATTAACTTGGTGTGAGCATAAAATTTGCCGCCAGCCGGCGCGGCAAGTATCTGTCAGCTGGGTGAAATTGTACATGTTCTATTTTGGTAGTCAAGCAGCGGCGACTAGAACAGCGCTTTCTAACCACTCAAGCAGCGCATTAGCTGCGAGTAAACCAACACGTGGTCCTTTGTTTATGTTTAATGTCTGTTCTGTTAACCAACCCTTAACAAATGCTTAATTAATTGTTTACGTGGACCCACAGACAACATGGTTGCTGAAAGCGACTAAACGAAATGGCGAGTAGAAGCAGACAGTGCGACCGGGTTGCCCTCCGCTGCTTGCAGCATGCTACTGCCTGCTGCTGATTGGTTGCGGCTAGCAAACAGGCTAGTGTGGCCCGCGCTTAAGATAAAAAAATGTGTGACTGCGTTGTTTTGTTTCATTTTGTTGCAAAAGGTTGTATGGTGTTAAGGCATTACAGATCTCACGTTATGTCTTTAACAATATCACTGCATTTATAATTATCATCAGTTACTACATCTGTCAGCACTTCATCTTTCAGTGCAGAATCACGTGATTCAAGCAGCTCTTCAATATCTGACAAGAAGTAACATAGCTGGAAAAGTGTTTTCGTTACTTTCATCACTATCACTGCATTCATTAGTTACTAAATCTACCAGATCTTCTTCTTTTAGTTCAGAATCATGTGACTGAAGTAGATCTTCAATATCTAACAGTTGAACGATGGTCACTAAAATCTCCTTGTAACGACCGTCCTAAAGGTATTGTAGCCTTGATGTCATTCTGCAAGTTCTCATAATCCTTCTCTGATGTGACAACATTTGGCCAGATTTGAGTCTCTGTTGCAACAGCTTCTACGTTGCTAAGGCACTGTGGATCTCACGGTGCCTTTCACTTTTTTTGTGTTATAGGATCCTTTTCTATCAACATATGTGTTAGTCTTTCTTCCATTTCTAAATATTTATTAATTGTTTTGAAAAGTAACAAAGCTGGAAACGTATTTTCGTTATTTTCATCACTGTCATTGCATTCATGATTACCATCAGTTACTAAATCTGCAGCTCTTCATCTGTCGGTGCAGAATCATGTGACTCAAGTAGCTCTTCAATATCTGATAGTTGGATGATGGTCATTAAAACCATCTCCTTGTAACGACCGTTCTGAAGGTACTGTAGTCTGAATGTCTTTCTGCAAATTTTCATCATCCTTCTCTGATGTGACAACATTTTGCCAGATTTTTCTCCAGCAACCATTCAATGTGAATTTTTTCAATTCACGGCGCTACTGTTCATGAATACTTACTGCTGGACATAATATCCATCTTGAATTATCCTTTTTAGGGATTCTGGATGCAACTTTGCTGCCCCATGATCGGCTGAAGCAGAATTTCAAATTGTGAAGGCTATGATGATTTTTAAAGTTGTCGAACTAACCCTTACTTAGACTAAAACTACAGCACTATCACCAGAAACTTTCGGGTTAAGCCGTGCGTTTTTTGAAAAAGTGTTTGACGTTTCGAATGCCATGTTGCAACCTTCTTCAGAAACAAGTTCGAAGTGACGAAATCGGTAAAAATGTTAGCTATAAATACATAAAAAGATAATTAATAACTAATTAGTGTCTAATTGTCAACTAAGTTGCTTTTGTCAAATCCAGGTGGAGATCTTCCATGTGCGGCTGAGTTTCCAGCCGTCCTTTCTATTCATGTTATTCCCATGCCGATGAATCTCTATCCCCTCTCTCGTCATTCTTTGGAAGTAATGTCCGGTTCTTGCTAGCACTTTAGTTTTGTCGAACTCCATGGTGCGTCCTCCTTTGTGGCAATGCTCCGCGACTGCAGATTGTTGGATTTTATTCAGTCCAGTTTTCGACGTTACGTCCAGTTTGGCCAACATAATACTTCCCGCAACTGCACGATAGGAAGGCAGATAAAACCGGCTGGTAGTATTTTTTCGTAGTACTTTTCGTAGTACTTATCGAATCTTTCCTCTATTTGCGTGGTTTGGTGGCTTGTTGGATATCCCTTATCGTATAGCCGTTCTTCTGCAGTATATCTTGTAAAAAACTGTCTTCTTTCTTTACGTTTTCTTTATCACATATCCTCTCTGCCCGCTGGAATAAGGCTTGAATCACGGACCTCTTCTGATATATAGTTCCATGCCCCCACCTGTCTTCCTAGTGACCAACACATCCAAGAATGGTAACTGTTTTGCAGTTTCCGTTTCCATGGTAAATTTTATCATGTGGTGCTGTGAGTTTAGGTGATCTAGAAATTTGTGGAGTTGCTCTTTTCCGTGTTACCAGATCACGATAGTGTCATCGACATAACGGAGCCATAGCTTCAGTTTCCTCTTCAAACATCTTCATGTAAAAATTGGCGATTACAGGTGACAGAGATGATCCCATGGCTACCCCTTCGCATTGCTCGTAGAATTCTCCTTTCATTTGGTTTTAGATCAATATTTGGTGACGAAGATTCACTTTTCGTAAAATTATCCTAGATGTTTATAGATTTATCTCTAATGAGTAGAGCTTAGAGTGGGTCTTTTTTGAGTTTGAATCTTAATCAATAAAATCAAGGCGTTTTCAACAATTTTGAAGTTTCACGAACTGAATTAAGGTCAAGCAGGAAGGATACTGTATAATTTCCAAACATTCTATCATAAATCCTACCCGCCTCTCTGGAATTATATCAAATAAATGTTTCCAAAGAAACAATAACTGTTAAGGTTATTTTAACAAATTAAATTTAAATAGAAATATTCTTTATTTTAATAATATCTAATATAATTATTATATTCCACAAGAAATATATTTCATTCCTTAGAGTATTGTATTTTTTTAATTTGTTTCTTTGTGACAAAATTAATTTTAATTAAATGCAAAATAACTGAAAAAAAAAAAAAACAGAAATTAAACCCTAAATTAATAATTTGAAAAATAAACATTTTTTTTTTCAATTAATTACTATTTTCATTTTATCATCAAGTATAAAAATGTATAATAACAATTATTTATTCTCATTATTATCTATATAAAATATCCATCTTAATTTTTTACAAAAATATAAAAAGAAAACGAATTGTTAATAATTTCTCTAAATGCTACAAATATTAATTAGTTTTAAATTTAAATTAATCAAAATTAATTACATAGTGTAAATGAGCCAAAACAAAAAAAAACAATGAGAAGGAAATTAAAAAAATTGGGTGGAAAACAAACTATTGGTAACAAGTTAAACTTTAAATAATTAAACCATCACTAAAAGAAAAGAAAAAAATAAATGATCAAGTAATTCGATATGGAAAATATGCAAACCTAATTTCATTGTAAGATTTAAATTTAAAGTACATTTTTTATAAAGAAAAAAGCTTTAAACAGTCAAATTGTGAAAACTATTCATGTTTTATTGCTGGAGGAGCCTCTGCTAACCCTTTCACTTTTAGTCGATCTGCTGTTTTTAAGAAGGCAGGTAATTGTTCTTGACTTACGTTCACTTCACCAGCGTACATAAATTCTAAAATTGCTTGTAAATGACTGTAAGCAACATCTTTAAGGATTATTATCGGATGTTTTGAAGGATTTTCCTTGAAAGAAAATAACATTAACAAAACTAACTATAATTATTAAATTTTAAAGATTTTTACCTCTAATAAGCTTTTAAAATACGGGCTGCATGCGGATAGTACCATTTTATGAGCTTTACAAGTTTGCCCCTCGCAAGCTAAAGTAACGTCGGTGAAACTTTTTTCATCTCGTAAATGCCGAAAAGAAGTAACCATATTGCTTTGGAAATCGTTCCATTTTAAAAAGAATTGCTGTTGGTCCGCCATCGTATTAGAATGTTGAAGAAAAGGTTTTAGCCCCTTAACCTAACTCAAAGAAATCGTCAAACTTTGTCTTTACATAACCTTATTTTTGCTGTTGTTAAAAACAACTGAACGGACATTATCGCCATATTTGAAACTTACCTTGGAGCGTTTATAACTTAAATCGGTAGAGAATTTTTAAGATTGAAGAAATTCGTTATCGGGGGAATTTAGAAAGAAATTAGGCAGTCATTAGCATTCTGCTAAACAAACCTATTACGCAAGCGCTGTTTTAATTTTGATGTACCAACCGGTGTTATTACTTTCTTTTCTGTGTGAAATCTAGGGATGTTTGTGTATAATTATTTTTAAGTTGGTGGGAACCGATCTGAAATTGGTTGCGAAAAGAAAGGAGGGAATTTCAATATTTTTATTTTCATTGATATTGTTACCTTATCTTTTTTTTATCAGAACAAATAGATTATCATTACGCGTTAGATAAGATTCATTAAAATACCTTTTTGAGATTCAGAATAAACAAGTAATCGGTAGAAATACGTTCGACTCAATACAAAACTTATTCAAAACCACAATTATTATTTTGATGGTAAAAAATGAATAGTAGCACTTGGTCGGCACCAGTTCAACGTGGACGATGGATTTTAAACACACTTTTTCATCAAGCTTTAGCCGTCGTGGTTATATTCACCATTTGGATACCAATTGATTATAATATTGTTTTTCATAATCAACTTATTGGGCACATTATTTTCTGTACAATCGGTGTAAGTCATTTTTGTTGGTTATTTTAACAATTTTATCTTGATTAAGATTAAAAATAAAAATTCATGGAAACGTAATGAAGTAGAAAGTTAAGATTTGTATTTTTTGACGTTTTAAATGTCAAAATTATTAAAATATATTTTAGGTTAGACGTCAATTTAATAATAAATGTTTTATACCTTTTAATATTTGACCAAGCGATATAGAATTTTTTTGTTATTTAAATCTTTAAAGAAATCCATAAATTAATATTAATTAAGTTCTTAATAAAATTAATAATTAAGATGTTAGAATTGTTAAAATCAGCTGTATTTGACGTTTGACGTTTAATTGACGTTTAAAATTTAAAATTGCAAAAAAACGGTTTTAGGATTGCTTTTGGATGTACATAATTTTTTATGGATTATAGAATCTTAGTATTTTATCTTAAAATCTCATTGATTTAGTGTGTAAATATCGATAATCACTTAATATTAATATAGTAAAACTACGATAACTACTGCAACGATGCAGTTGATAATAATGTTATCATTCATGATAGTTTTAGATCTAGTATGAGTTCTAATGCTAGTGTTAGTTCTAGTTTTAGTTGTTATTCAGTGTTATTCACACTAGACGTGCGTCTGAAGACGCACGGCTAAACCTGTGACTTTCTAGTTCTAAGTCTAGTGTTAGTTCTAGTTTTAATTGTGATTCATCAGTAGATTGTTATATATTTTTATTGAACAAAAAGTAGAACTAACACTAGACGTAGAACTAGAATCATTCGAGTTTAGCCGTCTTAAGTACTAATCTCGAATGTTTCTAGTTCTATGTCTAGTGTTAGTTCTAATGCTACTGCTATTTCTAGTTTTTATTTAGCGTTAGATTGTTGTATATTTTTCATTGAACTAAAACTAAACACTCCCATTTTCATATTAATCCGTTACATCGAGGTTTTACTGTATTATAATTTTAGGTGTAATTATATTAATAGGAATGATTATTTTTAATATTTTTCTGTTAATTATTAATCGATTACTCATTTACAGTGAGTAATCATTTCTAATCTATATTGATTTCAGTGAGATATGATGTATTATTAATTTGATTATCTGATTTTTTGGCAGGTTTTCTTCTTAGCAGAGTCGTTAATACTTTTCGCTGGAGATAATGTTTGGTCACAAGATTTAGAGAAAAAATCTCGATATTGGATACATGGTGTTTTAATAGCAATCGGGACTGTTTGTATTATTACTGGAATATCTATTGAAATAAATAGAACTAAATTAACCGGGCACTTTGAATCTGATCATGGCATAATTGGTAAATAAATATTAAAAATAATTTGTTTAACTTAAATAAATTAAAATTTTTTTTAGGACTTATGGCATTGATTTTTCTTTCTTTATCTCTTATTTTGGGATTACTGGGTGCATTTTCAAACACATTTTCTGGTTATATTCGGCCAGTAATACTTAAATTTACACACAATTTGATTGGAATTATCACTTATACTTTTTGCATAGCCGCATTGTGTTTGGGTTATTACACGGATCCTTATAAACAATTAACCAGCTCAACAACAAGAAATTCCGCAACTGTTGCAGCTTGTATAATTTGCTGTTGGTCGCTGATAACATCTTTTATTTCGGCTTACAAACAAATACGAAGTATTGTAAATAAATGATTCTAATTAACGAGTCTCAACATTATTTTAATTTGTGTTTAATTTTTTTTATTGCAAAGTCCTCTCCTCTTCCAGGATAATTCAAAAAAAGGTTTACCTTTGGAATTAATCGGAGTCAATAGACCAAAAAGTTTAATTTTTTTGGATCAACATCCTGTTGAAAATGAGGAGGAAAGGAAAACTTTAAGTGGAGATGAGTGATAAAAAGGAAAAGATAACACAAAAGAAAAAACATTGTGATAAAAAAAATTTAATTTATTTGATGACTAACGAAATGAACAATCAATCAATTTTTATTGTATCAGTATTACAAACTTAAAAAATTAAAAGAAAATCAATTAAATTTAAGGTATGAATCATACCTTAACAATTTATAAGGAGGAATTTTTCAATAAAATTTTTAAACAAAACATCCACATCGTTTTTATTATTATTTTCATTTAATCATCGACGTTTTTTAATATTTTTTTTTATAACTAATAAATACAGAAAACGGAAGCCTAGTAATACTTTTATTCATGACATTATCGTTAAAAGTAGCACATATTAATATTTTATAACATCCAAAAACGTTTAAAACAAACCCGATAAGATAACAAAAAGAATCTTGTTGGGTTTATTTTAATTCATTTTTTTCTAGATTTTATTTTATTCAACACAATACTTAAAAAAATTGCTAAAACTCAAAAAATAAAAACGTTTCTTTGGGTATTTTTTTTTCTTTCGATTCTAACTCAGAATGGCAGTGCAAAAAGTTACAATTAATTAATTAAATACGCGTAATGATTATTCAATACAAATTGTAAATTATTAATTATAAGGTAATAATTAGTTAAATACAAGGTAATAATAACAATAATTGACAAGCCCTACATAGAAATTGATCTATTACATTAGTCTAATGGTAGTTTTAGCGACTGATTTTGATTTATTTATTTAATTTAATTATTATCAAGGGGGAAGCTAACAATTATTATTTTTCTAGCTTTAATCATTAAAAATTAGAGCTATTCGACTATAAAAAAAATAAACCTAGTTTAAGTAAGTGAAATGTTAATAGTATAAGACAATCACAGACATCTAAAATTTTTTGTAAATTCCTCTTTTACAAAGAATCACTATAAAATCACTTTTCTGTATGTACTCATTAGATGGCGCGATCTTTGAGTATTGAGAGAAATGATTTTTATAACCACTCCATTTACGTATATTTTTTTATTATCGAGAGAAATTTACAAAGCGATTTACACTATTTACGAGTAAATTTATAAAAAAGGGGAAGGTGCGCGAATTATTTTAATTTATTTTTGTATTAATCATCTAAAATTATTATTAGTTGTTAATCATGCATATCTCCATAAAAAAAGGTATTATTTTGTTTAATTATTGCTTATTCGTTTTCGCTTTCGTAATTTTTCCTTTTCGTCCCCTTTTCAAAACCGTTTTTTTTTAATACACCCTCTTTCTTTAAACTTAACTGTTTTTACTCAACTTACCTGTCTTAAAAGTTTAAAGAAAACTTCTTACAAAAAAAGAACCAATCACAGCGTTTTCTTTCTTCTACTGATCCAACACTTTTTTCTCAAACCAAAAACCGATTTTTTTTTGACAATTTACTGTTGTAGATCTTGTCCAGCCTTATTACAGGATACGCAACAGTGGGTTGTGTAGTAATCGTAACGGCAAAGCCTTGCTTGTACAGCCAAGTGACAAGTTTTTACTTTGTCCACACAATTTCCTGTTAAAAAAAATAATTTTCTAAAAAGATTGTCTTGAATTCTTTTAAAAATAATGTGATAATGAATATATTAATGAATTTACATATTTAATTTTATTAATATTTAAATAGCCAAAGTTTGATTACACCTCTATAATTCTGTTTTAAGAAAAATTGCCACAAAAACATGGGAAAAAATCAAAAAGAAAATGATAATAAAATATCAAACAAGAACAAAACAGTATACAGGATGAGTTATTAGTATACCGGCGGACGATAGTTGCTAAACCGTTTGAGAAAGAAAAAAATGTTTTATACAAAAGCTGTTTTACTCACCATTTTATATTACGCAAAATTATTTTTACTTATACAGGGTGTTCCATTTAGGCGTAATGGAAAGTATGTAGATTTTTTTTAAATGGAACATCCTGTATATTTCAGCATATTATGAATACAATTAAATTTGTTTATACAACCGTATATGTTACTAACTCAAAGCGTTCATAGTTCTAGAGATATGCAATTGTTTTTCCAAAATGTGTCCATTGCAGGATCTTTTTAAAAACTATGTAAAAACGACATTTTTTCCAATTTTGTCTTGAAACTATGTCAGATAATAGTCAAAGCCAGTAGGTATATGATAGTATCCAAAGATATTAGATACGCTATACAGCGTGTTCATAAAGCTTAGTTACTTTTGATGTTTTTCAAATGGCTTTTTCATAAGTTTTTTAAATGGACAGGCTGTTCCATGCCTTTATATTGTATGCTGGTTGAATTGCCCATCAAGTTATCATTAATTAATGATAGGTATGTCATATATCTAACTTTAGTAGTTTTTTATGGCATCATTTTTGATGTAAAAAAATAAGTCTATTTTAAATAGTTAAACATTGTCATAAACCCGAGTAAAAATAACAAATAACTGTTACCGTAATGAAGGACTGTTATTAAATCAGTTTGAATCGAGTAAGGGTTATGAACGCATCGCTGATTTTACTGAACATATTCTATTATTGCTAAGCTTTAAAGTAGGATAATCGAACTCTAAATAGCTTAATCATTGAGAATGTCACTTTTAAATTACCATCAAAGAGAAGAAAGATGATTGAATCGTCAAATTTTCTGCACGTCACGATTTACGAGAAGGGATACGAATTATTTAAGACGCACAAAAGAATCGTTGTTTTGAATATAATTAAACGAACGACTGTGTTGAATTACACAAAAAGGTGTAGCTAATTTCTCTTTTTGCATACCGTAGGTAAATTGATTGCAATTAAGAAATAAAGAAGATTATTAATTTTGTAATAAGTTTCTTTCAGACTATATTCGAAAATGTGAGATCAATTTACAATAAAATTCAAATCTTTATTATTTTTTAAGAAGATTGTATTTACTTACTATCTACAGGTGGTTCATCTTGAACAGGTTTATACCTATGATCCCGATGATCCTCTTTTTTATTACAGACACAATCCCTCCTTGAATTCGGCATTTCTTCTACATTACAAGCGGCCGAATACCTCCCGTTAACATCAAAACATCTAACCTCCCTACTTTGACTCCCCTCCGGACAATTTCCATCGCAAATGCTCCACTCCCCTGAATACCACGTCGGGTTACAATGTCCCCGACATGACCTTTCACTTTCCGGTCGATTATGACCAGGACACATCATCTCAACCCCCAATCTCGTCTGCCCTTTAACCTTAATAACACAAAGAACCTCCCGAATTTCCCTTCCTTGTCCATCGCATGTATCGGAGCAAGGACCCCAAGGTCCAGTAAACCATCGTCCTGAACATTCTTTATCCGATGAACAAGCTCGAACAGTTTCTGGTTTAGTTCCGTCATCATCGTTACAATTATCGCGGTAACAATGAGCTCGTCGCGTTTGATTTCCGGTACCGCAAGTTTCTGAACATTGAGACCATTCGCTTAGGAGCCAATTTGATGGTTTTCCGGTTGGATCGGGACAAGGACCTTCATCGCAATGTTCTGCGTGTGTTGGACGTAAATCGGGACGACATTGCGTTGAAGGACATGAAACTTCTCTTGTACGATGACCTGTTCCGCAAGTAACAGAACACTAAAGAGAGAAAGAAAAATTTCTTGGAATTTTAGGTAAAAATTTTGTTTTGACTTTGAAATTATTTTTTATAAATACATTTCTTACCTGACTCCATGGACTAACATGCCACTTATGATAACTTTTTCTATTGTCAACCTCAACAGTTTGTGGAAGTGCATTTAAAATACTATTTTCACAACTCGGTAATGTACAAGATCGACTAGATGCTGTTGGTTTCGGTTGTGGACATCTTCCATCATCAACAGTCAGCATTCGTCCGGTTTGGGGTTCCTCCTCCATACATTTCAAAAGGTAATTTTGTACACCTTCCCCACAAGAACCAGTGCACGGCCCCCAATGTCCGCCCCAATTTATTTCTGGGCACTTTTGTGTGTTACACGAAACTGGGATGGTTGGAGGTCGTTCTAAGTGGTTGCAACGTTTTTGGAGGACTGGGGTTTGGGATATTTCTCTTACGCAAGTTAAAATAGGGGTTTGAACTCCGCCACCGCAAGTTTTTGTACACGGTCCTAATCCGGTTATTTTCCAAGCAAAACGTCTTCGTGGACGAATTCTCCGATGAGTAGTCGGTTTACCTTCGTCTTTCTGATGATGGTTAACATCCAAACGTCTCGGTTCAAGACCGATATCGTTTGACATTTGTTGGATTAATGGTGGGGCGATTTGTTCATCAGTTTCCGGCGGCACCGAATATCCGTATTTAATACCCGGATTTTGTTGATACGCTACAATCTGAAATAAAAATTTCTAATTAGTAAATTGGATTAAAATTGTAAAAAGGTTAAAATTTATGTCCTCCGAATGGAAACCCAGTTGAAAATACAATAGCCTCGAGGGGTCCTAACTGTTTCCTTTTCCACATCCCCTCTTTTATACATTACTCGGGCACCGTGGTTCGTAAAATATAAATTAACCTAAAAATACTATTCGGGACCCACCATTATTTCCACCGGGACGTTCGTGGGTCCGGGTGATGTTATTGTCTCTAGGGAGGTCGCATCCTGTTTCCTGTAGTTGAATTTTGTACCAGCTCCTTCCGTTGTTTTACTATTTGCGAACATCCAGTCTCCATTTAGAATCGAAGTTCCGTTTATGTGTCTCAGTGCTAAAAAATTTAAACATTTTGTTTTATTAATAGTTGTTATTGCATTTTTATTATTTTCTATTAAGTTTAATATGTATAAATAATAATATAATGTCAATAAAATAAACACAAGTTGGATATGCTTTTATAATCAAGTATCAGAATACCTTGACCTTGAACTTTGCAAATATTATTAATCTATTGATATCATGGAAATTATTTCCGTCTTCCAAAATGGCAAGAGTGTAAGGGTAAATCATAGAATTAGATGCAGTGCACTTAAAAAGATTCAAAAAGATTGTTTCTACAAGGTGGGGCAGAATACATTCCATGATTAGAAGGGTTAATTGTAAGAAAACGGTTCAAGATACATAAAAAAGGTTTTATTGCTTACGAGTACACATAATGTTGTTAATGGTATTTAAGGGCACATCTTAGAATTAGAATCAGTGCACCTAAAAAGCTTCAAAGAGATACTTTCTATAAAGTGGGGCAGAATCCAGTCCACGATTTGAAGGATTAATTATAAGAAAACGGTTCAAGATACATAAAAAAGATTTTATTGCTCAAGAGTACACATAATGCCGTTTTTTCACGATGTTTTGAAAATAATATCGTTGTTTTGTTATAAAGTTCTGATGATATGTTACACCAAGATGTTTGTGCAGTTTCACCATCCTAACTCCAGATAATCACATGCTATTATCTTAGTGTTTAGTCACAAAAGTATTTTTTATCATTTCTAATTTCAAAGTAGAAGATTAACTTAATATTTGTCAAAAATTCTATGCAAAAAGTGTTTACATATTAAACTTAACCTTATAAATATTAATAAAAAGCATTCAACCAATACAATGGGTTGTTTGAATTATAAAAGTAAACTTTAACAGTTAGATCATTTCGAAGTGAGACTACTGATGATATAATGACCTTAGTTGAGCGCGTAAAAGTGTCAAAATTACAAGATTTACGTTCCGATTGTAGCCGAAGGTGGTTCATTTACATTTCTATATGACTGTGACTATGACGAATGACTTTTCGGATTCTAACGAGATGGAAATGAAAAAATTATGGACAAAAATTATGTAACGACCATAAAATGATAAAACAGTAAAATTGAAAATTTATTGAGATTTCGCCATAAGAATTCGTAATAAATAAAATTTAGTTAAACAATAAAAGTGTAATTAATTGATTACTGTTGGTGACATACCGATGATATTTCTGGTGGGTTTTAATTGCTGAACTAGAATTCTGCAAGCTCCCGGGGGAATTTGAGCTACAAAATTGTAGCCGTCAGTTAAATCTGGTCTTGTATATAGACCAGAAACGTTTTTGCAATTCCCTTTTGAACAAGCTGCACATTCTTCTTGGGATTCATCTAAAGCACCTATTATTCCATTTGAAGATATAGTCTGGAAAAAAAAGAAAAATAATAAGCTAAACTCAAAGAAATTAATTAAAAATACTTCATGTATTTAAAATCGCCTACTTATGTAAATAAGAACGTTGCCGTTCAAGAAAGTCTCCGGTAGACTCAATTGAATGTGAGATATCAAGAAGGAAAGCAAAATCGTTATCTATGTGTGGGTTTCAAACAGGTGCATGAAACAGGAAACAAATAAAAAGGATGGTTTAAAAAAGATTAGGAGCAGATGTTAGATGAAAATTGAAATTCTGGAAATTTATTGATTTTAGAGTGGGAAATAAATTTTTTTTAGGTTATAGTTGATGTATACAAATCAATAACAAAAGTGGTTTAGTAAAGCGAATTTATTTAGGAGGATGTTTACGCTGTATTTTAGGCTCTAGGTCAATAGAACGAGGATTAACAAAATTTTACTTGCACTTAACCTAAATTATCGCTACTTTTTGTTTAACAAACGATCAAACTGCTTTATTTTAACTTTAAGCGCTACTAGGAACTACTATTTTAATAATAAATTTAAATTTTATGGATTATAACTTGAATCCATCAAAAAAATGCCAAATTTATTTGTTTTAAATAATTTTTTTCCAGTTTTACGCAAAAATATCAATCTATTCAAATAGAGTAATTATCTTTTTTTAAAGAGTATCATCTTAAAAGGAAAGATTGAGATCAAAAGGACCGATGCCGCTGAGAGAGTTTAATTTTAGCTCTTGCGCTGTTGCATTCCTAGCGAACTAGAGCACTTCTTTTCGCGTTACGTTTCGTTTCTTTTCACCCGCACACTTTGCCGATGAAAACGGGAGATCTTATCTTTCTCTCGTATAACCCGGCAATTAACGCATGTCCGGATCGATTAAACTCTTATAAAATGTACAAGAGAAACGATCGATCGCGACGTGTTAACTTTAGCGAATTAATTTGCGTTTGTCATTAAGTTCACACATCCGAAATCTATAAGGGGTATTAGCAAATACAAAATTCTTGAATAATAAATTTATAATAAAATTCAAGGTCCTAAAGAATGCATCAATTTAAGAGATCTGGACAGGTAACATATGTCGGAGTGAAAGTGGATAGATCCATTCATAAGATAATCCGAAGAAAAACTCCCGAGGTGATATTACCTAATAATAAAATCGAAGACGAAGAAATCAAAGAAGAGGTTTGAAAGAAAAGTGTTCTTTGTTCTTTTATATTTACATTAAAAAGTATTTTATTTCCGAAGATTTATTTGCTTCGTCAAGATTTTGACGGTTTATTTCAAATATTTCGCGAATCCTTTCTATTTTTGTTCACTTACTGAATGAACCGAATCTAAATTTAGACGGAAATTCGTACTGAAGATAAATTTCAGTTCGCCTTGAGCCTTTAAAAATATGGAGCACATGGCCCGAGACTAATATTAAAATTTTTAGTTTACGTCAAAAAATATTTGAGATAGAAATGAAGGTCAAGATCGGTTATGAAACTCAAAAACTAAATTTAAATAGGAAATCGTAATTCATCGTAACTCATAATATTTAAGTAATGTGTTAAAACGTGTTAAATCATCTCTTTTTATAATTATCTACTCTTTTATGGATGCTAAGAAAATGTAAGCAAATTGAAGGATGATTTATCGATTTATTTTGCAAAAAACACTCGTTAGGATAATGTATTAAATTTATTAAAAAAACTGGTTTTAAACAGGAAAACAATCCTAAGAATTCTTTGGGTGCTGGCTAATTTGTATTGTCACAAACGGAATGTAAGTACGTATACTTTATCTATTTTACATACCCATATATCAATACTTCTTTACAATTCAATTTACGACGACCTTCCATAAATTTATTTCTTCGCTTATTGTTCAACCTTTTTTATTTCAAAGACCAGAAAAAACGAGCTTAAGATGTACGATTTGAAAGTCTTTGCAAATAGCTTTTCAGATTGAAAGTTGAGATGGACACGAACCTAGACTGCATAGAAGAAACAGATTGATCGACCACTCTGTATACAGTTTTAAATTTAACAAACGTACTCAAACTGGTTTTTCTATACCTTTTTCTTCTTCTGGGTTTTCGTTTTTTGTTGCGTGCGTGTGGCCGTAGTGCGTGTATCTAACAGGCCAATCAACAGTTATTGATCTCAGTCCTAATATATTTATTAGTATTTATTACCAATGTAATACCGCGACCTGCGGGCGCTCACGAACCAGAACTAACAACAACAAAAAAAATCGTTAACTCTTTGAAACTTGTTCGCTACTGTGCTGTCGATCTTAATCACAGTTTATTAATGATTATGTTTAAAAAAGTAGATGTGATAGAAAAAACATGTAAACTATATTTTTTAGGAAATAAAAAAAAATGTTTTATTTTAAATTTTCAGCTTTGAAGTTAGATTATAATAAACAGATGATGTTTAATGTATGTTTGTTACAGTATATTAATTACAGTACATAAAGTGAATAATAGAAGACTTTCGAAGACTTCAGTAGGAAGTCTAGTTGAGACCAGAAAAAAGCACAAAGTAAAAACATGTTAATCATGTAAGGGAGCGTGTGGAAGTACAAAATATCAGAAATGAGTGCAAGTATAATTAAAAATATTTCGACTAGTAAAGTCCATACAAAAGCTTATAGAATACACTAATTCTAGATGTAAATGTTATTTTAGGTGTTTCTAAAGAAAATCATAACTTGCTAAAGCTACCAACATATATCAGCTTCTTTCCTCGCCTCTTCGAATTCTTCTTTCCTTTCTCATGTTCTTTGTTGCACTTATTTTCTATGCGCATGTTGATTGCTTCTTCACACTCCCTATCAAACCATTACCTTTTGCGCTCTATTTGTTTCTCTATTACATAGTTGCTAATTCTATTTTGTTCCAATGTTCTTCTACTTCATTTTCGTTGATTTCTGCTATGTTGTACAAAAATGAGAAAGTCAGGTCCTGATCTCCTTTAACCTTTGCCTCCACTTCCCCTGCCCGAAGCTGGTCCCTTCCAACCCTAAAAAGCCTAACAGTTCCCGTGCGTCATCGCTTACTGCATCTTTTCACTATTTCCATGGCTTTTCCACAGGTCTCTGCCGTTCGTGCATTTCTCACCATATATTCGGCGTACTACAGCTTTTGTATTGTGATAAATTTCGAGAGGGTGACATTATTGAAAAGACATCTTTGTTTGTCGATGTCAGTACTTGTAATCTGAATACATGAATATATAGTATGAAGTAAGCTTTATTTGCTTTTGTTATTCCTTTGTTTAGTTCTGCATCTTCCGTGCCATCCCTGCATAATACGATACCTTTGTTTTTCCTATGCTTATCTCCAATCTTTTGTCGTGTCCATTCTGTTGAGAGTATGCATTTTCTAGTCCTGATTTCTGATAACTCATAATGTTTACATTGTCTGCATATGCAGCCTGTTTTGTTGATCAGCAATTTTTTTAATAATTTGTCTTACGATCAATTTAAGCGTTAGGTTGAATTGAATTAAGCCTTGCCCATCCACCGGTTTTAATCCACGTGTTATTGCGAAAGGATCTGCTAGTTCTTTGTTTATCGCATCCTTGTTTCAATATTTATGAGCTTTATTTACGGCTTTTATGAGCCGTAAACAAGGCGTAATACATGTTTGGAAACAATACTTTCATAATTAATTGGGACCAGGTTCGATGTAGGAGAATGAATTCTACACATAACGCAACTAATACTATCAATATAAACAAAATTTCCGAAAATACTCGTAACATGTAACAATACTATAGATGGAGCAACATGAGATCCCATAAGCGTATTAAAACAGGGAACTCAAATCTACTTTAGGTATACTTTATTAAACTAAGTCAATTCAGTGCAGAAATGTGTTACTCCATTATACCACACCCAGCATGAAAAGTATCTCGTTATTTCCTGTATTTATGGCTTTTAATCGTTTGCAAGAAAAATATTCTGTTTACTTCGCCCCCACCTAGATTGTCAGTGAATAAATACTGAGTTGAGTCTTGATTTAAAATTTACTTTGTAGTAACAAATTTGAGTATTTTAGAAATGATATATATTTCTGGTAAATTTGCCCAATTTATTCAAACAACTGGTTTTTTTGAGTTAGATTCAAAATTACTTTTTGCTGATCTATTGTAATTAATTCTAAAAAAAATGAAATTATAAAATGTTTAGAAAATTCAGATAATGTTAGAATTGAAGAAATTAGGATGATTATGGAGAAAAAAGGAAAAATTAGTTTTAGGTTTAGGTTTAGAATGAAGAAAGAGTATGTGGATAATCGGACTTGGGTGGAGTATTCATTGAGGGAGTGTGAGAAACTAAGGGAATAGATGATAGATTGGAAGATGTGAGGTTGGATATGGATAAAAGGCGGTTTGGAGGCGAGAGTGAATCATGATGAGATAGAAACGAGCACTTCATGTTCACTTTCTGCATAAATGGGGCAAGACATTGACACACTTTGGCGAATGCAGTGAAAATCAAATTGCGAAACATGATATAGAAGATTACCTTAGAACAGCCTATGATGGAGTACCTAAAGATTTTCTGTTCACGACTCCAGAATCAATATTTTGCATAAATTAACTAAATGTGTTCATTATTACTAATGAATAAAATCTTCATTGGTTAGTGTTATTAATCACATTAAGTAATTTCTATATTATTTAAGTTCCTTTCTCATTTTCAATATCTCCTAATTGTTTGAGTATTTCATTCTGATTTATAAAATTGAACTAACAAGATTTTTATGTTCGTTCATTAATTGACACTTACTAGAACTGCTGTTGCCAATAAGGTTATTAAAGTGGTCAAATTCTTTCTATTCCAACATCACGTTAGCTTAGATATAAGCGAAAATTTGTTCAATTACATAAATTTTCTAAATAAATCCTGTGTACCAACGTAACAAAAAAAAAGAATAATGTTACAAATCCAATGAAATAAATCACAATCAGTTTGGATCTTGCGGTACATTTTTTCATCCATAAATT